TTATCACGACAGCCGATCCACGTGCTGCTCTCTAGTGTGAGCACCACAGCTGGTCCACGTGCTGCTCTAGTGTGATCACCCCATGCTGCTCTAGTGTGATCACCACGGCTGGTCCACATGCTGCTCTCATGTGATCACCACGGCCTGTCCACGTGCTGCTCTAGTGTGATCACCACGGCTGGTCCACATGCTGCTCTCATGTGATCACCACGGCCGGTCCATGTGCTGCTCTAGTGTGATCACCACGGCTGGTCCATGTGCTGCTCTCTAGTGTGATCACCACGGCTGGTCCACATGCTGCTCTCATGTGATCACCACGGCCGGTCCATGTGCTGCTCTAGTGTGATCACCACGGCCGGTCCACATGCTGCTCTCTAGTGTGATCACCACGGCCGGTCCATGCGCTGCTCTAGTGTGATCACCACGGCTGGTCCACATGCTGCTCTCTAGTGTGATCACCACGGCTGGTCCACATGCTGCTCTCTAGTGTGATCACCACGGCCGGTCCATGCGCTGCTCTAGTGTGATCACCACGGCTGGTCCACATGCTGCTCTCTAGTGTGATCACCACGGCCGGTCCACATGCTGCTCTAGTGTGATCACCACGGCCTGTCCATGTGCTGCTCTAGTGTGATCACCACGGCCGGTCCACGTGCTGCTCTCTAGTGTGATCACCACGGCCGGTCCATGTGCTGCTCTAGTGTGATCACCACGGCCGGTCCACGTGCTGCTCTAGTGTGATCACCACGGCTGGTCCACATGCTGCTCTCTAGTGTGATCACCACGGCTGGTCCACACGCTGCTCTAGTGTGATCACCACGGCCGGTCCACGTGCTGCTCTAGTGTGATCACCACGGCCGGTCCACATGCTGCTCTAGTGTGATCACCATGGCCGGTCCACGTGCTGCTCTAGTGTGATCACCACGGCCGGTCCATGTGCTGCTCTAGTGTGAGCACCACAGCCGGTCCATGTGCTGCTCTAGTGTGATCACCACGGCCGGTCCATGTGCTGCTCTAGTGTGATCACCACGGCCGGTCCATGTGCTGCTCTAGTGTGATCACCACGGCTGGTCCATGTGCTGCTCTAGTGTGATCACCACGGCCGGTCCATGTGCTGCTCTAGTGTGATCACCACGGCCGGTCCATGTGCTGCTCTAGTGTGATCACCACGGCTGGTCCATGTGCTGCTCTAGTGTGATCACCACGGCCGGTCCATGTGCTGCTCTAGTGTGATCACCATGGCCGGTCCATGTGCTGCTCTCTAGTGTGATCACCACGGCCGGTCCATGTGCTGCTCTAGTGTGATCACCACGGCTGGTCCACGTGCTGCTCTCTAGTGTGATCACCACGGCTGGTCCACATGCTGCTCTCTAGTGTGATCACCACGGCTGGTCCACATGCTGCTCTCTAGTGTGATCACCACGGCCGGTCCACGTGCTGCTCTAGTGTGATCACCATGGCCGGTCCATGTGCTGCTCTAGTGTGATCACCACGGCTGGTCCATGTGCTGCTCTAGTGTGATCACCACGGCCGGTCCATGTGCTGCTCTAGTGTGATCACCATGGCCGGTCCATGTGCTGCTCTAGTGTGATCACCACGGCCGGTCCATGTGCTGCTCTAGTGTGATCACCACGGCCGGTCCACACGCTGCTCTCTAGTGTGATCACCACGGCTGGTCCACATGCTGCTCTAGTGTGATCACCACGGCCGGTCCACATGCTGCTCTCTAGTGTGATCACCACGGCCGGTCCATGTGCTGCTCTAGTGTGATCACCACGGCCGGTCCACACGCTGCTCTCTAGTGTGATCACCACGGCTGGTCCATGTGCTGCTCTAGTGTGATCACCACGGCCGGTCCATGTGCTGCTCTAGTGTGATCACCACGGCTGGTCCACATGCTGCTCTAGTGTGATCACCACGGCCGGTCCATGTGCTGCTCTAGTGTGATCACCATGGCCGGTCCACACGCTGCTCTAGTGTGATCACCACGGCCGGTCCATGTGCTGCTCTAGTGTGATCACCATGGCCGGTCCATGTGCTGCTCTAGTGTGATCACCACGGCCGGTCCATGTGCTGCTCTAGTGTGATCACCACGGCCGGTCCACACGCTGCTCTCTAGTGTGATCACCACGGCTGGTCCACATGCTGCTCTAGTGTGATCACCACGGCTGGTCCATGTGCTGCTCTAGTGTGATCACCACGGCTGGTCCACGTGCTGCTCTAGTGTGATCACCACGGCTGGTCCACGTGCTGCTCTCATGTGATCACCACGGCCGGTCCATGTGCTGCTCTAGTGTGATCACCACGGCCGGTCCATGTGCTGCTCTAGTGTGATCACCACGGCCGGTCCACGTGCTGCTCTAGTGTGATCACCACGGCCGGTCCACGTGCTGCTCTAGTGTGATCACCACGGCCGGTCCACGTGCTGCTCTAGTGTGATCACCACGGCCGGTCCACATGCTGCTCTCTAGTGTGGTCACCACGGCCAGTCCACACACTGCTCTTAGTGCTGCCCTGTTAGGTGGGTCACGTCACCATATCTCATAGATGGGGACACTGGAGCACAGAGAGGTTCAAGAACTCGCTGAGGGTCACATAGCCAATAGGTTTGGAAACCTAGATGTGAATCCACGCCGTCTGGCTTTGAGATCAGTGTTCTGAACATCTGTTTCTACTGCCTCAGTAAATACGGATATAGATGTAAATATACATACTAATGTGAGTATAGACAACACAGCAACATTAATGACGGTATTGTAAAAATTAGCCATTATCCTGCCATACCGTGACTGTAAAATTACATGTATGTTACATGCATTTTACACAGCTAAAATCAGTGTGTTTATGTTTCATTTTCTGCCATCCCTTATTTATAAAGCCTTTAGAAGGTCACTGAGTTGTTGTATCAGTCTGCTCCTGAAATGATGCTTACTGAGGTTTTTTTTGTGTGCTGTTGATTTTGGAGAACACCGTAGCAGGTATCTCTGCCCCTGTCTTTACTGAGTTTATTTGTCTGTCCTGTTGATTTTGGAGAACACTGTAGCGGGTATCTCTGCCCCTGTCTTTACTGGGGTTATTTTTGTATGCTGTTGATTTTGGAGAACACCGTAGCAGGTATCTCTGCCCCCGTCTTTACTGGGGTTATTTGTCTGTCCTGTTGATTTTGGAGAACACTGTAGCAGGTATCTCTGCCCCTGTCTTTACTGGGGTTATTTTTGTGTTCTGTTGATTTTGGAGAACACCGTAGCGGGTATCTCTGCCCCTGTCTTTACTGGGGTTATTTTTGTGTGCTGTTGATTTTGGAGAACACCGTAGCGGGTATCTCTGCCCCTGTCTTTACTGAGGTTTTTTTTGTGTGCTGTTGATTTTGGAGAACACCGTAGCAGGTATTTCTGCTCCTGTCTTTACTGAGTTTATTTGTCTGTCCTGTTGATTTTGGAGAACACTGTAGCGGGTATCTCTGCCCCTGTCTTTACTGGGGTTATTTTTGTGTTCTGTTGATTTTGGAGAACACCGTAGCGGGTATCTCTGCCCCTGTCTTTACTGGGGTTATTTTTGTATGCTGTTGATTTTGGAGAACACCGTAGCAGGTATCTCTGCCCCCGTCTTTACTGGGGTTATTTGTCTGTCCTGTTGATTTTGGAGAACACCGTAGCAGGTATCTCTGCCCCCGTCTTTACTGGGGTTATTTGTCTGTCCTGTTGATTTTGGAGAACACTGTAGCAGGTATCTCTGCCCCGTCTTTACTGGGGTTATTTTTGTATGCTGTTGATTTTGGAGAACACCATAGCAGGTATCTCTGCCCCTGTCTTTACTGAGGTTATTTGTCTGTCCTGTTGATTTTGGAGAACACCGTAGCAGGTATCTCTGCCCCTGTCTTTACTGGGGTTATTTTTGTATGCTGTTGATTTTGGAGAACACCGTAGCAGGTATCTCTGCCCCCGTCTTTACTGGGGTTATTTGTCTGTCCTGTTGATTTTGGAGAACACCGTAGCAGGTATCTCTGCCCCTGTCTTTACTGAGATTATTTGTCTGTCCTGTTGATTTTGGAGAACACCGTAGCAGGTATCTCTGCCCCTGTCTTTGCTGGGGTTATTTTTGTATGCTGTTGATTTTGGAGAACACTGTAGCAGGTATCTCTGCCTCTGTCTTTACTGGGGTTATTTGTCTGTCCTGTTGATTTTGGAGAACACTGTAGCAGGTATCTCTGCCTCTGTCTTTACTGAGGTTATTTGTCTGTCCTGTTGATTTTGGAGAACACTGTAGCAGGTATCTCTGCCCCTGTCTTTACTGGGGTTATTTTTGTATGCTGTTGATTTTGGAGAACACTGTAGCAGGTATCTCTGCCTCTGTCTTTACTGGGGTTATTTGTCTGTCCTGTTGATTTTGGAGAACACTGTAGCAGGTATCTCTGCCTCTGTCTTTACTGAGGTTATTTGTCTGTCCTGTTGATTTTGGAGAACACTGTAGCAGGTATCTCTGCCCCTGTCTTTACTGGGGTTATTTTTGTATGCTGTTGATTTTGGAGAACACCGTAGTGGGTATCTCTGCCCCATCTTTACATTTCTTCTTAATGTCTGAGTTGGGCTGAGTCCCCCAGACCAGACATGGCCCTTGCTATTTGCTCGGTAAGCAGTCAGTTTCGGGGCTGCCAAGGGCACAGAAAGGGCCGAGACACTACGTATGGGGCCTCGGGCTTCAGACTATGTCAGAGGCTTGTGGTAGAAACAGAGACATGCTCAGTCAACAGCAGAGCGCCAGCCCTTGAGGAAGTCAGTCCCGCTCCCGAGGCTGCCAGGAGTCCTGGTTCTTCTCTTTCTGATTCTTTTGTCTACTGTTTTCATATTTTAAGGGTACAGGATTGGTTTTTTTTTTTCTCTTTTTTTAACTTACATGGTTCTGGTTGTTGGTGGTTCCTTTGGAAATGGTTTTTGGATATATCATGTTTTAAAAGTCAGTTCGTTGACAAAACATGCTCTGCTCTCCCTTTTCCACGGAAGCAACTGCACCTGCAGAGGAATGCCCTCCGTGTGATTCCTCAGGACTTCTTTCAGCTACTGCCGAACCTGACGTGGCTGGACCTCCGGCACAACAGAATCGAGGCACTTCCTTCTGGGATTGGATCTCACAAGTAAGTTGTGTTTACGCTTCCAGCCGTTACAGATCGTCTCGTAAGTGCGCGAGTGCCTGTTCTGCTGCTCCTTGTCCCCTACTCTCCATTGCATTTTTACTTCCGATAGAAACATTTAATAGTCTTTGTAAAGCCGGCCAAGAGCTGCGACGGCTGAATGCGCCAAGGCACAGAACTATGACGGGATATTTGGTGCCACGGCGAATGCTGTAGCCACAGTGAATTTTGCTGGGCGGCTGGTGTGGTTTTTCTCGCAGCCCTGACTCTCCTTGTGTGAAGCTGCCTGAAAATCAGAAATAGCTCTGATGAGTTAAACCAGCTCCTTTGGCTGGGCGCAGTGGCTCACACGTGTAATCCCAGAGCTTTGAAAGGCCAAGGTCAGATCACCTGAGGTCAGGAGTTCAGGACCAGCCTGGCCAACGTGGCAAAACCCCGTCTCTACTAAAAACATAAAAATTACCTGGACGTGGTGGCGGGTGCCTGTAACCCCAGCTTCTCAGGAGGCTGAGGCAGGAGAATTGCTTGAACCCAGGGGGCAGAAGTTGCAGTGAGCCAGGATCACGCCACTGCACTCCAGCCTGGGCTACAGAGTAAGGCTCCATCTCAAAAAAATAATAATAGTAAACCAGCTCCTCTGCTCCCGAGGGCTCCTGTGTAAATTGGTTCTTGGCAAATCATGAGAAATTCTTCTCACTTTGGAAAACTGGGAGCACTCAAGCAAGTCCCTGGTGTCCTGCCTGTTCCCACCTCGTCCCTTCCCGGGGTTTCCCTGCATTCCCGCTTGTGGGGTGTAATCCTGCCCAGGGTGGAAATGCCACACTTCCTTTCCCTCCTCCGCCTGGCCCTTCCCCCGCAGCCGGGACTCTCACTATGGAGACACCTTCCTTTCCTGAGCCCTCTGCTTCTGTCTTCTGTGCCCACCTCCCCAACACCATGGCTTTTTCGCCTTCCAAAACCATCATTGCCCTTACCTCTTTTTCTTTTTTTGAGCTGGAGTGCAGTGGCGCGATCTTGGCTCACTGCAACCTCTGCCTCCCGGTTCAAGCGATCTCTTGCCTCAGCCTGCCAAGTAACTGGAATTACAGGCACCCACCACCACACCTGGCTAATTTTCATATTTTTAGTAGAAGTGGGTTTTCACCATCTTGACCAGGCTGGTCTCAAACTCCTGACCTCAAGTGAATTGCCTGCCTTGGCCTCCCACAGTGCTGGGATAAAGGCATGAGCCACTGCGCCTGGCTGCCCTTACCTCTTTTGATCAGTGCTTCAGTGGCTGCTGGCCCCACAAGGTCATGGAGTGTCCCTTAGGCTGTGCTGAGGCGGGATCTGAGGAAGAGACAGGACACAGAAGAACTGGAAAAGAACAGCTGGATGGGGGGGGGCACGTCACCAATGAGCGGAGACAGGCAAGGCTCGAACGCCCAGAAGCATCTGTATTTATTAGGTACAAACAGAGGGAAGGGTCGTGAGTGAGGTCATCATCTATAGGCTTAGTGACAGGGCATCCATAATCACATGACAAGCGAAGGGGCCACCCTGTTATGTCAGCTGGGCAAAGAGGTGGGCCATCACAGTAGGGGGCTGTGCAGAAAAGGGGTCCACCCCCATTAGGTCACCGAGGCAAGGAGGCAAGGAGGTGGGCTCTGTGCATGACACTTCTTATCCGGGGGCCGCAGACTTCAGCGGATTTCTAATAGAAGGATACTGTAAGCTTAATGCAGTGGGAGCTGACAGACTTGTGCTCTTCTCTAAGATATTTATGGGAGGATTCTTTGAGCTAGCACAGAAACAAGAAAAGACGGACAGGGTGGACAGCTGCTGTGACTGGTCACACCAGAGGGGTTCTTCTCCCTCGGTTACTTCCAGGATCTCAGGCCTGAGGCCGACTTTCCACAGGAACTGGATGCAGGTGCTACAACTCCTCTATCAGGAGGAGAGACACTCGCTCCAAGTCTGCCATACAGCGTTGCCCTTTCAGGCAGGGACACCACCGCCTGGGGCTTTGGTTCTCGTCCTGGTCTGGCTGTTTTCCCATGTACTGCTTCTGTTCTGTGACTGCTCTAGGCGTTCCTCCTACTACAGACTATTATATGGTTATATAGTAGGATGCCATAAATCAGCACTAAAAGTGTCGGTGCAGCTCCGACTACGATACCTGTATGGTTATATAGAAAGATGATATGGAACTAAGTATGTTAGATATAAGTATTAAGTATGATTCTATAAGCTGGATATATGGAAGCAGTCAGTTACACTTCAGGCACTAATTCTATACACTTATATATGGTTATATATGAAGGATCGTATGAAGGAAATAGCTGAGTAATAACACTGTAACTAAGATATTCTTCAGGCACTAACTTTGCCTGGGGTTTGCACAGCTCTCCTTCCTTGGTGCCCATGTCGGGGGTTACCCACAGCCCTCCTCTGATATGAGTGCATCTGGACACAGCCCTGAGGTAGGCATATGCCTGGCAGGTGCAGGCTGACAGGGAGGTCTGTGTGGTGGGGGAGGGCTGTAGAGGGGATGCTGGGGCTCAGAGGCCAGGGTCTCCTTGTGGATTTTATAGAAGGGCTTGGGTAGAGAGGGCTGGTATCAGACTTGGCTTATAGTCACTCTGTGAGGAGGGGGCTCTAGGGCATGGGTGGGGCGGGACAGCAGCTGTGGCCACGGCAGCAGTTCATGGAGGAGGAGCACCCTGGGCGTGACTGGCCATGGCAGGGCTTCAGTGGGACTCCAGAGCTTGTGGGATGAAGGTGGGTGTGGGGCCACAAGAACAGGGCACCCCCGGTTCCTACGTGAGGAATTACATCTCCAAAGAGCCATGGTGGCCACTGTGTGACAGCAGAATTGAGGCTTGTAGGAGGCCCTTCACTTGCCTTGACCTCACTGGCTTTAAAAATGTTTTATAAGAAGTCACTATATTTGGCACACGTAGTAGAAGACAAGGATGCATCATTCACCCCGTGGTCTTCAGGCTCTGTGAGGAAGCTGCTTATCCAATGATAGGTGGTGTCTCAAGCAGGTGGAAACACACCGGGTGCATCTCCATGGAGCTCCTGGGGCTCTGGGGTCTGCAGGGAGGATCACAGATGGGCCTCGAGGAGAAGCGTGTTCTGGAGCTCAGCTGGTTCATCTGCCACGCCTGGCCAGCTGCTTGCGTGGTGGGAGCCAGACACTCTGGGCAGGTGTCCACCCTGTTCCTCACGGCCTCAGGAGGCTTCTGAGTCTGTGGCTGAGAGCATTTGGAAAGGATTTCTTCTTCACATGATCATCATCTGGGTTTAGAATCACTGGGTGCTGTTTTATCCACAAACTGTTTTAGCCTCACACAGTTCTGGAGAGTGAGTGCTGTTCTGAGGGTGCAAATGAACTAAGACCTGCTCCCAGAACTGTGCTTCTTTTCCCTAAAATAGGTGTACAGTTCTCAAAATTTGAGATTCTTTGGTTTTGCCAGTCAAAGCTGCCTAATGTTTTTGAAGATACACTTATTTGTGATCTGTGACCCATGCTAATACTCAAATTAGATCAGCTGCAGAGCTGAGCCCTGCTACTCAGAAAGGCGAAGTGATCACGGGCTTATGAAAGTCCTGAGCCTCTCGAAATGCATAACTAAAAGGGTGGTGGTGTCACTGAGCCCCCTTCTCCTGTTCTGGGTGTGTGAGCTTGTAGCACAGAGAACGGGGAAACGTGGACCAGTTCATCCCTCCTCAGGCAAACAAGTCCAACTCAGTATTCACATTTATATGAATTCATTTCAAAATCAATGAAACAAAGCAATCCATGGGTAAGCTTTGGATTACTGGTAAGTATTTAAGGAATTAACATTTATAAATTTATCATTTTAAGTGTGCTCAGAATATTTTCATAATATTATTACATAAGGTAGAAAAATCCATTCTGTACTTTCAGGTTAATAGTAAACATGCACCCCCTGCCATCCCCCTCAGGCGCAAACACAACCCAGCAGCGCACGGGTGGGCCAGAACCTTTGTGCCTTGCGGAAGGGCCAGCGTTGGAGAAGCCGAGGGCACGTGCTGCCCTTGCTGCCCTCCTTAGCACTGGAGGCCTCTGTGCGCCTTGTAGAGAGCAGGCACTGCTCTCGTTGGCTAGTTTTATATTAGCAAAATTCAGAGGGAGTGAACCAAAAACAGTGAGCTGAACAAACAGCATTGAAATTACCCACCTTTGTGCACTTCAAGAAAAGTTTACTTCATAGAGTTTATTCCTTAAATACTTCAAACAATGGCTGGGTGCGGTGGCTCACACCCGTAATCTCAGAACTTTGGGAGGCCGAGGTGGGCGGACCATGAGGTCAGGAGTTTGAGACCAGACTGGCCAGCGTGGTGAAACCCTGTCTCTACTAAAAGTAAAAATAAAAAGTAGCTGGGCGTGGTGGCATGCGCCTTTCCCAGCTGCTCGGGAGGCTGAGGCAGGAGAGTTGCTTGCATCTGGCAGGCGGAGGTTGCAGTGAGCTGAGATTGCACCAGGTGATCCAGCCTGGGCAACAGAGCGAGAACTATCTCAAAAAAAGAAAAAAAAAAATCAAATAAGGAAAATCCAAGAAAGTAAGAAAGAAAATTGTCTAAACCTTAAGTAATCTGATTTTCCTGTGGGGTTGCCAATCAAAACATTGAACATAATTTGAATGAGGGCTGGATGTGATGGCTCATGTCTGTAATCTCAGCACTTTGAGAAGGTGAGGCGGGAGGATTGCTTGAGTCCAGGAGTTCAAAACCAGCTTGGCCAACATAGGAAGACCCTGTGTCTACACAAAATACAAAAATTATCTAGGTATGGTGGCACACATCTTGAGTCTCAGCTGCTGGAGGGGCTGAGGTTGCAGTGAGCCAAGATTTCGCCACTGCACTCCAGCCCGGGCAACAGGGTGGAGACCTTGTCTCAAAACATAATGATAATAATAAAATGTGAAAACCAGGAAACACAGTACAATAAAATACAGCATAGAGTTTAATAGAAAATATATTTTTTTCCATCATTTGACTAGTAAATTTTTACATTCTTTCCTGTCTGTCTGTCTGTCTAGGCATCCATGATATATTTTGGGCTGCATTTTGTGTGGGCATTACCAGGTGTTAGATGAAAGCAGGTGCCTTCCAGAAATGCTGCTTTAGCTGTGTTTCTTACATGGAGGCTTCTCAGAGTCCGCAGTGTAGCAATGATTCATCTCCACAGAGGGCCGGATACACCGCGTAGCGGAAGTCTCTCAAATGTCTTCGACCATAAAACACGTGTTTCACAGAGCATCATAAAACATGGGAATTCCTCACAACACGTTTTAGAAAGACTGATTCACAGTGAGGTTGTAACTGGGAGGTATGACAGCCTAAAGTAGGGGTTCTTAACTGGGGCAGGTGTTGCCCCCAGGAGACTGTTGGCAATGTTGGGAGATCTTTGTGGTTGTCACACGCGGGGTGGGTCAACTGTTGAAGAAAGGCGGGAGGTGAACACTAGCCCGCAAAGCATGGGACACCGCCGTGCCTACGGACTGCCTGGTCCCATGTCCTAGTGGTTCAGGGCCTAGACTCGTGCCTGCACATGGCAGCAGACTGCTTGTGTGTACGTTCTTGTAAACTGAAGTGTTTACAAGTTGCCCCTTGAAAGAGAGGAAAATGAAGAAACTTGATGGTATATTTTGGAAATAGTCATTTAATTCCCTGCTTTTTAAACTCTTGTTTTGTTTTGTTTTGTTTTGTTTAAGGCATTTGAAAACTTTGCTTTTAGAAAGAAATCCTATCAAAATGTTACCTGTGGAGCTGGGTAAGTGATAAAACAATAAAAAGATGACTTTTCAATGCTATCTTTTGAACTTGCCAGACCCTGTAGTGGAAGTATCAGGCATGACAAAGGAGGTTAAGCTAAACTTTTTAAAATCCTTCCTACTTCTGGGACTAAGATGATGTAGCTCTCAAGAGCTGTGGATACAGCCTGTACCGTTCGAATGGAGCTGTGACATGTGAGCCTCGTGTGAGGCACAGTCACAGTGAGGGGCGCTGGCACCAGCTCCCAGCTAAGGAAACCTAAGACCCTGCACACACCTCTGCAGACCCCATGTGCTGCCTCTGCTGCATCTCGCTGGCCTTCCTGGGAAGCTTTACCACTTAAATATGTTCCTGGGCTCGTCCTGACCGCTCCTCTAGACCCCAGAATCTAAACACTCAAAACCAAAGGCATAAGCTCACAGACAAAAACAGGTGTAGAATATCACAGAAGCAGCTGTTTTATGACCTTTAAAATATCTATCAGAAACAGTATAAATTAGTCTGACTGGCAGCCCAGGCAAAAATGTCTAAAATTCTGAAGGCATTTCTATTATGAACATGAAAAGCATTTTGGAGAACTAATTTATGGCTACTCATGAATTTATAAGTCAGTTGCTACCATGTAGCCAGTATAAAAACAGAGGTAGACACACATGTGTACATTAAGATTTTATAGCTTTGATTTTATTTTTAGCCGTGAATCGGGTAAAACTCACTAGTTTAAAAGAACAGTTGAGACCATGGATAGTGGCTCCTGCCTGTAATCCCAGCACCTTGGGGCACCAAGACAGGAGGATCCCTTGAGGTCAGGAGTTTGAAACCAGTCTGGGCAACATGGTGAGACCCCATCTCCACAAAAAATAAAATAAAATCGGCCAGGTGCAGTAGCGCGTGCCTGAGTTCCTAAGTTCTTAGGAGGCTAACTTGACCCTAGGACTTTAAGGCTGCAGTGAGCTCTGATTCCACCACTGCACTCCAACCTGGACAACACGGTGAGACCCTCTCTCTAAAAACAAAACAGAAGCAAAATAAAAGAACAGTTGGGTTAAACTGTGCCTTTGTAAATGGAGCAAGTTATGGCTGGAACCCTTACACAGTTTCAGAGAAAACAGAATAGCAAATATACATCTTGAAGCACGGAAAGAATTTACGCTTTTTAAAGAAGGAGTTTGGGTTCGTTTGAAGGCTGAAAATGGATGACAAGATAATACAGAGTCATAGGGACTTGCCACAGGATTTTATAAGGAAACCAGTATCGTTTTAGAGAGGTAGCTTCTAGTTTAGTCTCCGTTTTCCAACTGGACCACCGAGCTCAGGGCAGAGCCCATAATGGACAGGACCAGCAAAGCATTTACAGTTTTTACAGCCTAAAACTCACCTATCTGAAAAGCAAGCGCAGCTGAAAGGCAGAACACTTCAATACCCAACATCTAAGCATCTGTCTTTCACACCAAACCCTGGGCCCCTCAAGTTGGCAGATGCCACAGGACTGGGCCCTGCAGTGCTTCCCCAGCGCTCCTCACTCCAAGGACATTGCCCTTAGCCTGCTGAGGGACCCAGCGCCCATCAGCCGACTGCCCACCCCGGGAGTCTTAGCTCTCAGCGGCCAGTGTTTCCACAGCCTGCAGGTGTTCAAACAGTTGCCATTTTTAGTGACAGTTCACATTTGTGGAGTAAGCACGATTTTCTTCATTTGCTTGAACATATTTAAATGGCCACACTGAAGTCTTTGTTAAACCCAACGTCTGGGCCTCCTCAAAGACAGGTTCTGTCGTCCGCTGACTTCCTGAGTGTAGGTCACGTTTTCCTTTTCTTTGCATGGCTTGTAGTTTTTATGTTGAAAATGAGCGTTTTAACGACTTTGTATTCTGAATTTTACAGAACTGTGAAGGTTGTTGTGGCTGCTGCTGTTTGTTTGATTTGATCTATTTGTGTTTTGGTAATTGTCCTGGTCTTAATTTGTGGAATCTGCCTCCTGCAGAGTTATCTCTAAAGCAAATCTTTGACATCTGTTAATATCATTCTACCCCCAATACTGAATAGAATCATTTTTTTAATGTGAAAACGTTTACCGTTACTTGTTCCTCATTTTCATGTCAAGAACAGTCTAGAAAATGCTGACAGTTGTTTTTCTCCCTGCAGGCAGGTTAGTGACACTGAAAGGCCTGAACCTGAGGCACTGCCCCCTGGAATTCCCTCCACAGCTCGTCGTGCAGAAGGGATTGGTGGCTATCCAGCACTTCCTGCGGAGGCGGGCAGCAGAACACTCTCTCCCTGGAAGTCCAGCTTCTCAAGGTTTGTAGGATCGTGATTTATGACAAAGCACATTAACGCTGAAGTTACAGCTTTTTAAAATCAGGGCAGAACGTGTCTCCTCTTCAGTAACATCCTGAGAAATGCAGGAGCCACGCGTCCTCTGTTGAATTGACGTAGCACACGCTGATCTCCAGGATGACCCAGTCATCTCTCTGTCTTTTTCCCGTAAGTCTGGCCACAGATTTACACTGCTGTGCCCATTGATAGATCCCGTCTGGAGTGGGTTTTGGTGGAAGTTTACTGTGATCAATCAATTGAATCAATTCTCACCTCCAAGCCACCTACAGGCAGCTGCCTCAGGAACGACTTCCTGCTCCATTAGACAATGATGTAAGAATAAGCACAATGAACTATTCCTTCTTTCCATCAAGGTGCAGGAAAATGGCCCTGTAGACACGTTTCATCTGATCACCTTGCTGGTGGGTTCTCACTGACCTGCTCCGTTCTCTCAGCAAACTGACCAGCTGGGCATTTCCAGATGCTCCCTTGCTGGTGGGTGCTCACTGACCTGCTCCGTTCTCTCAGCAAACTGACCAGCCGGGCTTTTCCAGATGCTCCCTTGCTGGTGGGTGCTCACTGACCTGCTCTGTTCTCTCAGCAAACTGACCAGCCGGGCTTTTCCAGATGCTCCCTTGCTGGTGGGTGCTCACTGACCTGCTCCGTTCTCTCAGCAAACTGACCAGCCGGGTGTTTTCAGATGCTCCCTTACTGGTGGGTGCTCACTGACCTGCTCCGTTCTCTCAGCAAACTGACCAGCCGGGCATTTTCAGATGCTCCCTTGCTGGTGGGTGCTCACTGACCTGCTCCGTTCTTTCAGCAAACTGACCAGCCGGGTGTTTTCAGATGCTCCCTTGCTGGTGGGTGCTCACTAGCCTGCTCCTTTCTCTCAGCACGCTGACCAGCCGGGTGTTTTCAGATGCTCCCTTGCTGGTGGGTGCTCACTGACCTGCTCCGTTCTCTCAGCAAACTGACCAGCCGGGCATTTTCAGATGCTCCCTTGCTGGTGGGTGCTCACTAGCCTGCTCCGTTCTCTCAGCAAACTGACCAGCCAGGCGTTTTCAGATGCTCCCTTGCTGGTGGGTGCTCACTAGCCTGCTCCGTTCTCTCAGCAAACTGACCAGCCGGGCTTTTCCAGATGCTCCCTTGCTGGTGGGTGCTCACTAGCCTGCTCCGTTCTCTCAGCAAACTGACCAGCCGGGCATTTTCAGATGCTCCCTTGCTGGTGGGTGCTCACTAGCCTGCTCCATTCTTTCAGCAAACTGACCAGCCAGGCGTTTTCAGATGCTCCCTTGCTGGTGGGTGCTCACTGACCTGCTCCGTTCTCTCAGCAAACTGACCAGCCAGGCGTTTCCAGATGCTCATGATGTGTTCTGGTCGTGAGTGGGCTTTACGCTTGGAAAAAGTAAAGCAAAATCGAGATAGAGTCATAACGAAGGCTCGACAAAAAAGTAAAATATTCCGAAATATTTTCACAATATTTAAATTTTTCCTATTTGTGATGTACTTTGATACTTAAGAAGAATGCACGTTTGGAGCGATTAGCTGCACTGAAATGTGTAAGCAGTCAGGTCTCTGAATAACACTTGACCTCACACTTCAACCCAGTCGGCCTCTACTTGGAAATTGTTTTAAATGATTAGGAATCAGCAGTTGGCCCTGTGCTTGCTGAGTTTGTGGACATATTTTACCCAGGTCATGGCAGCCTCCACTGGTGTGTCACTCTGAAGCTGCCCGGCTCTGGGCACCCTTGACCCTGACGCTGCCGGGACTTCGTGATACGAACAGGAAGAGGAAAGTGGGCACTGGGCACCTGGCAGGAGCTGAAGGCAGGTAGCTGAGGCCATGGGGTGGCTGAGGAAAGATAGGACTGGGACCTGGAGATGGCAGAGACAGGGACAGGGGGCACAACCGTCAGGCACAGCGGAGCAGGCATGCAGGGAGCTCAGGAGACACGGACAGACCCCACTGGAGGACCAGAATGAAAAGGGAGGAGTTGAGGGTTCATTCTGATTGAAGGCCACTAAAGGAAAGTGGATGTGATGGCTTCATCCTGGGTTGGATACTGGCCAGGAAAAATAGGATAAAGGACACCACTGGCACAGTTACCCAGGCGTGAGCAAGGCTAGCCCGTGGATGACAGGAGTCAGCGATGGGACGTGTCTAGTTTTGGTGAATCGCTGCGGTGACGTGTGAGTGTCTCCATCTGAGGGTGGAGGGGCAGGATGTCTGAAGTTACCCGTGAGTGTTTTAGGAAACGCTACGCCCCAGAGAGGCGGGGACGGGTGGGCTCGCCAGGCCCAGCAGCAGCAGCTGCCGACGGGGTGCGGGGCCCACCAGCTTCTCAGCACTGTTGTTGCAACTTTTCTATAAGTGAAATCATTTCAGAATGAAAGGTTAAGATGTTATTAAGTAACTGGTCAAAAATAAATAGTCTGACTCTTTTTTTGATTCGTTTCTATTATGTACATTTTTAGTAGTTTGCCCTTTGAATTAAATTTAGAAAGTACAGGGCCGGGCACGGTGGCTCAGGCCTGTAATCCCAGCACTTTCGGAGGCCGAGGTGGGTGGATCACGAGGTCAGGAGATTGAGATCATCCTGGCTAACACGGTGAAACCCCGTCTCTCCTAAAAATACAAAAAATTAGCCGGGCATGGTGGCGCATGCCTGTAGTCCCAGCTATTCAGGAGGCTGAGACAGAAGAACCCCTTGAACCTGGGAGTCAGAGGTTGCAGTGAGCCGAGATCGTGCCACTGCACTCCAGCCTGGGTGACAGCGAGACTCTGTTTCAAAAAAAAAAAAGGATTTTTGCCGGTATCCATTCTTCCTGTTTGCTTACATTTTCATGAATTTAATTTTGTCACTGGCCCTAAGTCAATTATCCATATGCGGATTGATCAAATATACACGTTTCTAGTCACTGGTACCCCGGGGGGAATTTTACAACTTCATAGGACGTTTTGAAGCATGTTTGCCCACTTTTTAGAACTTTTCCTTTCAAACCTAAGACCCTGAGCACGTAGCAGTTTCAGGAACGTGTGGCAGCCAGGGCTGTGACGTCCACGCGTCTGTGTCCACTGTGACACCCACCTGGGATCTCACTCAGCCTTCCTGAGAGGGGAGACGTCCACGCGTCTGTGTCCACTGTGACACCCACCTGGGATCTCACTCAGCCTTCCTGAGAGGGGAGACGTCCACGCGTCTGTGTCCACTGTGACACCCACCTGGGATCTCTCTCACTCAGCCTTCCTGAGAGGGGAGACGTCCACGCGTCTGTGTCCACTGTGACACCCACCTGGGATCTCACTCAGCCTTCCTGAGAGGGGAGACGTCCACGCGTCTGTGTCCACTGTGACACCCACCTGGGATCTCTCTCACTCAGCCTTCCTGAGAGGGGAGACGTCCACGCGTCTGTGTCCACTGTGACACCCACCTGGGATCTCACTCAGCCTTCCTGAGAGGGGAGACGTCCACGCGTCTGTGTCCACTGTGACACCCACCTGGGATCTCACTCAGCCTTCCTGAGAGGGGAGACGTCCACGCGTCTGTGTCCACTGTGACACCCACCTGGGATCTCACTCAGCCTTCCTGAGAGGGGAGACGTCCACGCGTCTGTGTCCACTGTGACACCCACCTGGGATCTCACTCAGCCTTCCTGAGAGGGGAGACGTCCACGCGTCTGTGTCCACTGTGACACCCACCTGGGATCTCACTCAGCCTTCCTGAGAGGGGAGACGTCCACGCGTCTGTGTCCACTGTGACACCCACCTGGGATCTCACTCAGCCTTCCTGAGAGGGGAGACCCCCTCCCCATCGCCCTCCTCGCAGGACTCCACCTCCTCCCTCCGGATGAGAAGGAGGGTAAAGAGAGAGAAAATACCAAAGAGCTGGAGTCCGTGGTCACGTGACTTGCTGACGCCACTGACCAGGCCATGATGAGGCCCAGAGGCTGGAAGATGACTCCCTTTTAGGTTCCCAGAGTCTCTGCTATCTATAAGCCTTGAGAGTGTTGCGAAGAATGTTATCACTACCGGCCAGAGCCTGGCACTGGGTCACGTCCTCCACGTTTGCACAACCCAGACCCCCTCCTGGAAACAGCTCTGCCAACTAACGACCTGCCTTTGCTTTGTCTCTGTGAGCCCCTCCCCCACCTACTCCCGCTCCTGCCGCATATGAACCAGCAAATCAATGAAGTCAAAGATTGTGAGGTCAATTGTCCAGCCAGTAGACAGTGACACAGTTTTGCCTCAGCTTCCCCTTTAGAGTTATAAGCCTATAAACAGGGAGAGAAGCTGCTTTTCGGTGAGCTTCGTCGTTAAGGCATTAGCCGCCACAGCTCCCAGCTGAATAAAAAGCCATTTCCTTTCTCAGTTCGGTCTCGAGGGGTTTTGTCTGCCGCCGCTCCTGCTACATTCCGGTGCTGCTGGGCACGCGCCTGCAAGAGACTGGCCAGTAGGCCCCAGTGGCTCCCCAAGTGCCTGGGCTTCTCCCTGAAGCTGTGTTTTGCGAAAGTCATCAAAAGCATCAGCAAAGAAGAAAAAAACAGGCATAACGGGCTAAACACGAGTTAGAAATAAAGATTCTAAGTTACCTGAGGGGAAGCAGAAATGTCGATTAAATGTGGCAAGATTGGCCTGTGTACACTTGCAAAACGTTCCTCTAATGTGGCAAGGCCCGTTGGGGGGGGGGCAGACGCGCCCAGTGGGGCCCATGTGGGAGGGTCGGGTGCGCCCGGTGGGGCCTGTGTAGGAGGGTCAGGTGCGCCCAGTGGGGCCCATGTGGGAGGGCCGGGTGCGCCCGGTGGGGCCTGTGTAGGAGGGTCAGGCGTGCTCTGGAGATACTGTCTCTGTTCCCTCCCTGTGGAGCTGCTCTGCCTGCCATTGCAGTCTGGCGTGGTGCAGATGGGGTAAACCCTGGTTGGACTGACAGGGAGCGTGAGGGCCATGGGGATCTGGGCACCGCACCCCCATCAGCTAGGCGGTCTTCCCAGAGGACCCCGTCACTGGCTTGTTGAGTGTGTCAGAGAGGGAAGGTGTTGGTGGCTCCTGAAGCAGTGTCTTCCTCTCCCAGGGGCTGCACCGGCTAAAGAGATGGCCCTCCACAACCTCCCGAGCCTGGGACTGGAGTTGTCTGCAGGCTACGCGTCTAATGAAGGAGCTGCGAATGCTGGGGACCCAGAGCAGGCTGTCATGAGACAGAAGGCTGGCTTTCTCCCGCCCGTGGAAAAGCCCGACCTGAGTGATCTCAGGAAGTCCGCTGACTCCTCAGAGCACTGGCCTAGTGAGGAGGAGATCAGGCGCTTTTGGAAGCTGAGGCAGGAGATTGTTGAGCACATGAAGGCAGATGGTCCTGGAAATCAGCTCTTACCGAGGGAATTACCTCCCAGTCTCAAGGCGGCCTTGAACAGTGAGAAAGAACCGCCAAAGCCAAGGCGCGTTTTCAGGTAAAACTAAAAGCAACGGGGGATTTTCCTGATCTTTGTGAATTTACACAGTTATTTTAAATTATCTTTAAAACATCAGGTCCACCTTTCAAAGTGTCCCTCCACACTGCCACTGTTTGCTGTTCAGGGAGTGCGGCCCCGGATTTAGGGTGATGAGCACCTGCATCAGCCCAGAGCGTCTGCGGCAGAGCTCAGGGCGTTCAGAGGCTGAGCTGGCCAGGGCTGAGGAAGCACTCGGGGAAAAGAAACACAGTGACAGTGAGATCTGTGGCCTGTGCTTTCTCCAGAGAGAGCTTTGAGGACGTCCTGTTTAAAGTCGAAAGAGGGGGCATCAGGGGAAGAAAGACAGAAAACTAAAAAGTAAAAGTGGGGACAGGCGGTGAGCCCAGTGGTCACATTCTTATGAGGCTTTGATGAGTGCTCACTGAATCCACATTTTACCTGTGAAAAGAGAGGAGTAGGGGGAAAGGTCAGTTCTGCAAAAAATAAAGGGAGCGTGTGCAGTCACAGCGGTCAGGGGGAAAAGGAAGGGGGCGTGTGCAGTGCAGCCGTCTGGGGAAAAGGAAGGGAGCGTGTGCAGTGCAGTTGTCTGGCGGAAAAGGAAGGGAGCGTGTGCAGTGCAGTTGTCTGGCGGAAGAGGAAGGGAGTGTGTGCAGTGCAGCCATCGGGGAAAGAGGAAGGGAGTGTGTGCAGTGCAGCCATCGGGGAAAGAGGAAGGGAGTGTGTGCAGTGCAGCCGTCGGGGAAAAGGAAGGGAGCGTGTGCAGTGCAGCCATCTGGGGAAAAGGAAGGGAGCGTGTGCAGTGCAGCTGTCTGGGGAAGAGGAAGGGAGCATGTGCAGTGCAGCCGTCTGGGGAAAAGGAAGGGAGCATGTGCAGTGCAGCCGTCTGGGGAAAAGGAAGGGAGCATGTGCAGTGCAGCCATCGGGGAAAGAGGAAGGGAGTGTGTGCAGTGCAGCCATCTGGGGAAGAGGAAGGGAGTGTGTGCAGTGCAGCTGTCTGGGGAAAGAGGAAGGGAGCGTGTGCAGTGCAGCCATCGGGGAAAAGGAAGGGAGTGTGTGCAGTGCAGCCGTCTGGGGGAAGAGGAAGGGAGCGTGTGCAGTGCAGCCATCGGGGAAAAGGAAGGGAGCGTGTGCAGTGCAGCCATCGGGGGAAGAGGAAGGGAGAGTGTGCAGTGCAGCCATCGGGGAAAGAGGAAGGGAGTGTGTGCAGTGCAGCTGTCTGGGGGAAGAGGAAGGGAGCGTGTGCAGTGCAGCCATCTGGGGAAAAGGAAGGGAGCATGTGCAGTGCAGCTGTCTGGGGGAAGAGGAAGGGAGTGTGTGCAGTGCAGCTGTCTGGGGAAAGAGGAAGGGAGCATGTGCAGTGCAGCCGTCTGGGGAAAAGGAAGGGAGCATGTGCAGTGCAGCCGTCTGGGGAAAAGGAAGGGAGCATGTGCAGTGCAGCCATCGGGGAAAGAGGAAGGGAGCATGTGCAGTGCAGCCATCTGGGGAAGAGGAAGGGAGAGTGTGCAGTGCAGCCGTCTGGGGAAAAGGAAGGGAGCATGTGCAGTGCAGCTGTCTGGGGAAAGAGGAAGGGAGCGTGTGCAGTGCAGCCATCTGGGGAAGAGGAAGGGAGCGTGTGCAGTGCAGCTGTCTGGGGAAAGAGGAAGGGAGTGTGTGCAGTGCAGCCGTCTGGGGAAGAGGAAGGGAGCGTGTGCAGTGCAGCTGTCTGGGGAAAGAGGAAGGGAGCGTGTGCAGTGCAGCCGTCTGGGGAAGAGGAAGGGAGTGTGTGCAGTGCAGCCATCGGGGAAAGAGGAAGGGAGCATGTGCAGTGCAGCCATCTGGGGAAAGAGGAAGGGAGTGTGTGCAGTGCAGCCGTCTGGGGAAAAGGAAGGGAGCGTGTGCAGTGCAGCCATCTGGGGAAGAGGAAGGGAGTGTGTGCAGTGCAGCTGTCTGGGGAAAGAGGAAGGGAGCGTGTGCAGTGCAGCCGTCTGGGGAAGAGGAAGGGAGTGTGTGCAGTGCAGCCATCGGGGAAAGAGGAAGGGAGCATGTGCAGTGCAGCTGTCTGGGGAAAGAGGAAGGGAGTGTGTGCAGTGCAGCCGTCTGGGGAAAAGGAAGGGAGCGTGTGCAGTGCAGCCGTCTGGGGGAAGAGGAAGGGAGTGTGTGCAGTGCAGCCGTCTGGGGGAAGAGGAAGGGAGCGTGTGCAGTGCAGCCGTCTGGGGAAAAGGAAGGGAGCGTGTGCAGTGCAGCCGTCTGGGGGAAGAGGAAGGGAGTGTGTGCAGTGCAGCTGTCTGGGGGAAGAGGAAGGGAGCGTGTGCAGTGCAGCCGTCTGGGGAAGAGGAAGGGAGCGTGTGCAGTGCAGCTGTCTGGGGAAAAGGAAGGGAGCATGTGCAGTGCAGCCGTCTGGGGGAAGAGGAAGGGAGCATGTGCAGTGCAGCCGTCTGGGGAAGAGGAAGGGAGCGTGTGCAGTGCAGCCGTCTGGGGGAAGAGGAAGGGAGCGTGTGCAGTGCAGCTGTCTGGGGGCAAATGAAGACAGTGGTTGTGCCCCCCATTTCCTAAGGTTACCTTTATGCTACAAAATAACAGTTGGTGTATCTAGATCATGTATTCTCAAGGGGGTCATTGACATAGCCAAGGGGACAACAATGGCTTCCTCGGGGTCAAGATGTCTTGGAGGCCGCGGTGGTCTGTGGTCCATGCAGCAGCCAACACGAACAAGTGCAAGGTGGCACCAAAGCTTCCTGGAGACATCGGCGTGGAGGCCCAAAGTGTTCACAGCCCTGATCTTTCGACTGTCCTGTAGGTTCCAACATTCAAAACAAAACAGACCTTGGAAGCCTTAGCAACAAATTCAAGTGTAGGGAGCCCTGGCCACACACGCTGCAGGTTCCCAGCAGGACCGCACAGGCTGCAGGTTCCCAGCCGCACCGCACAGGCTGCAGGTTCCCAGCCGCACCGCACAGGCTGCAGGTTCCCCGCCGCACCGCACAGGCTGCAGGTTCCCAGCCGCACCGCACAGGCTGCAGGTTCCCAGCACCGCACAGGCTGCAGGTTCCCAGCCGCACCGCACAGGCTGCAGGTTCCCAGCCGCACCGCACACGCTGCAGGTTCCCAGCCGCACCGCACAGGCTGCAGGTTCCCAGCCGCACCGCACAGGCTGCAGGTTCCCAGCCGCACCGCACAGGCTGCAGGTTCCCAGCCGCACCGCACACGCTGCAGGTTCCCAGCCGCACCGCACAGGCTGCAGGTTCCCAGCACTGCACAGGCTGCAGGTTCCCAGCCGCACCGCACAGGCTGCAGGTTCCCAGCACTGCACAGGCTGCAGGTTCCCAGCCGCACCGCACAGGCTGCAGGTTCCTAGCAGGACCGCACAGGCTGCAGGTTCCCAGCCGCACCGCACAGGCTGCAGGTTCCCAGCACTGCACAGGCTGCAGGTTCCCAGCCGCACCACACACGCTGCAGGTTCCCAGCACCGCACAGGCTGCAGGTTCCCAGCCGCACCGCACACGCTGCAGGTTCCCAGCACCGCACAGGCTGCAGGTTCCCAGCCGCACCGCACAGGCTGCAGGTTCCCAGCCGCACCGCACAGGCTGCAGGTTCCCAGCACCGCACAGGCTGCAGGTTCCCAGCCGCACCGCACAGGCTGCAGGTTCCCAGCCGCACCGCACAGGCTGCAGGTTCCCAGCCGCACCGCACACGCTGCAGGTTCCCAGCCGCACCGCACAGGCTGCAGGTTCCCAGCCGCACCGCACAGGCTGCAGGTTCCCAGCCGCACCGCACAGGCTGCAGGTTCCCAGCACTGCACAGGCTGCAGGTTCCCAGCCGCACCGCACAGGCTGCAGGTTCCCAGCCGCACCGCACAGGCTGCAGGTTCCCAGCCGCACCGCACAGGCTGCAGGTTCCCAGCAGGACCGCACAGGCTGCAGGTTCCCAGCCGCACCGCACAGGCTGCAGGTTCCCAGCACCGCACAGGCTGCAGGTTCCCAGCCGCACCACACACGCTGCAGGTTCCCAGCACCGCACAGGCTGCAGGTTCCCAGCCGCACCGCACACGCTGCAGGTTCCCAGCACCGCACAGGCTGCAGGTTCCCAGCCGCACCGCACAGGCTGCAGGTTCCCAGCCGCACCGCACAGGCTGCAGGTTCCCAGCCGCAGTGTAGTCTCAGAGGCGCCGACGCACTCGGGATGTTCTCAGTCCACACCGTCACATGGTGAAACGGCAGGAATATGCTGAGGCTGCTATTTAAAAGCCTCTTTCCTCCCTCCTCCCTTCATTTATTGATTTATTGTCAGGAGCTCTAATAGTTAATCCCAGTGAATGCTTATTCATGGTACTTATAATTTGATCAGTGTGTCAGATTTAGATAGGAGACCCTAGCCTTTGGAGACTGGGGAAGTTGGGGCAGAAAACTGAAGCCTCTGATGGGAGGCCTCAGCTGGGGCCACTGCCCCGTGGCTGGGCAGTGTCCTGCTGCCATCCATGCGTCTTCATAACGTGTCCTGAAATCAGCAGTCAAGACTGTGCGCTCTGTGGGGTGACTGCAGTTTCTGGTCGTGATCATCGTTCTGATAAGCAGACAATCCGCAGGCCCCCCTTTTCCATTTCGCATATTGTATGAGTTACTGTCACAGGGTTTTGTTAAATATTCAGCTAAAAACTGTAATTTTAGAAGGAAGACGGCCTCCTCCAGGAGCATCTTACCCGACCTCTCGTCACCACACCAAATGGCGATCCAAGCAAAAAGAGTGGAAGACAGCCGCGCGGCCGCACTCCTGGAGCTCCGGGAGAAGCAGGGCCTGATGGAGCAGCGGAGACGGTGAGTCCCTGCAGGACGGGCCCGCACAGCCGGCCCAGTGACCTGGAGCTGGGGCTGGGCTGCGGTTTTATGACCGACCTCGTGGAAGTCTTTAGTTAGTTCTCCCCTCACCGGTGCTGATCCAGAATCCATTTCTTTCTCACCTGGAAGCCCGGCTGCCCTCGTGGTCGGTGGCGCCACACATGGCTCTCTGGTTGGCAGCCCTGAGGCCCGCGTGTGGGCAGGCACAGGTGCAGGGCTCGCGGCCGTCCCATGTCGGTCTTGGCCCCGGCGTCCTCACACCCACCGTCTTTCTTGTCCTTTCCCTTAGTTCCTGTCTTCCTCCTCACTTTCTCTGGAGTGTCCTGGGCCCTGACGTGGTCACCAGGGAGGCTCATTATTGTGTTGTCCTGACCACCACCAGCGCCGCCACCTTGCTAGGTGTTCTAGTGTCTTCTCTGTCCTCTAGCTCTGCTGACCACCTGGCTCCACCCCTCTCTGGGCCCCAGGAGGCCAGCCGCCATGGACCACAGCCACAGCACCCCCATGCCCCGCACCTGGTCGTTGGCTTTGGCCAATGGGGGCCCCCAGCAGGAGGTCGAGGAGGAGAGGGAGAGCAAGGGCCTCGTCCTTACTCACCTGGCTCCTCTGTGAACTGCCTGGAGCTGGCTGAGTCCAGCCTCTCCCTCCTTCTGGGTTCTAGCAGATTCTCCTTCCCTGGTCTGCTCTGTGGGCCTGTGGGCGGCTGCAGCCCAACCCTGACTGGCACAGAGTTCCCGCACTGCCCCTGTGGCTCCCCGCTCCCTCCCGCCAGGAATAAACCCTCCTGAAGCCACCCCATTGTGTGTGTGCTATTTTCTCTCAGGCCCATGTGGCAGGGACCGTGTTCAACACACAGATTCTGTGGCCGTCCGTGGCTGTCACAGACAGACACTGTAGTTGTCTTTTTCTTCAGTTAAAGGGTGTGTGAGGTGAAGCCTTCCAAGCTGGTCCCCTGCCGCAGGCTGCCATGCTGACAGGCAGGGATGAGGCCAGTGAGCTCTCAGGCTGTCCTAGGATGTGGGCTGCAACAGGAAGCCCAGCGCTGTGGGACCCAGTCTCGCTGACCACTGGCCACAGCTGCTGGGGCCCAGGGAGCACTGGCAAGACTTTCATGGGTGCCCATCAGCCCTCCCACAATGTCCCTCTGGGTGGCTCCACAGAGCTGGGTGGGTCAGTCTCTGGGAGGTAAGCCCCTCAAGAGCAGCCCCACCAGCTGCCCTCTTCTCACTGTGCGCCCCGGCAGACATCTCCTCTCACTGCACACCCCACCAGCAGACACCTCCCCTCACTGTGCATCCCCCCCAGACACCTCCCCTCACTGTGCATCCCCCCCAGACACCTCCTCTCACTGTGCATCCCCCCCGACCCCTCCTCTCACGGCACGCCCCCCCAACAGACACCTCTCCTCACTGTGCATCCCCACCAGACACCTCCCCTCACTGTGCGTCCCCCCCAGACACCTCCCCTCACTGTGCGTCCCCCCCAGACACCTCCGCTCACTGTGCATCCCCCCCAGACACCTCCCCTCACTGTGCGTCCCCCCCAGACACCTCCCCTCACTGTGCATCCCCCCGACCCCTCCTCTCACGGCACGCCCCCCCAGCAGACACCTCTCCTCACTGTGCGTCCCCTCTGCAGACACCTCCCCTCACTGTCCATCCCCCCAGACACCTCCCCTCACTGTGCATCCCCCCCAGACACCTCCCCTCACTGTGCATCCCCCCCAGACACCTCCCCTCACTGTGCGTCCCCCCCAGACACCTCCCCTCACTGTGCATCCCCCCGACCCCTCCTCTCACGGCACGCCCCCCCAACAGACACCTCTCCTCACTGTGCGTCCCCTCTGCAGACACCTCCCCTCACTGTCCATCCCCCCAGACACCTCTCCTTACTGTGCATCCCCCCAGATACCTCCACTCACTGTGCATCCCCCCCAGACACCTCCCCTCACTGAGTGTCCCCCCAGACCCCTCCTCTCACTGCATGCCCCCCCAGCAGATGCTTCCCCTCACTGTGCATCCCCCCAGACACCTCCCCTCACTGTGCATCCCTCCCAGACACCTCCCCTCACTGTGTGTCCCCCCAGACCCCTCCTCTCACTGCATGCCCCCCCAGCAGATGCCTCCCCTCACTGTGCAACCCCCCAGACACCTCCCCTCACTGTGCATCTCCCCAGACACCTCCCCTCACTGTGCATCCCCCCCAGACACCTCCCCTCACTGTGCATCCCCCCAACACCTCCCCTCACTGTGCATCTCCCCAGACACCTCCCCTCACTGTGCATCCCCCCCAGACCCCTCCTCTCACTGCACACCCCCCAGCAGACGCCTCCCCTCACTGCCCTCCCCCCCCGCAGACACCTCCCCTCACTGTGCGTCCCCCCCAGACACCTCCCCTCACTGTGTGCCTGGCAGATGCCTCCCCTCACTGCACCCCTCCCCCCAGCAGACACCTCCCTTCCCTGCTGCAGGTGGGTCCCACTCCTGCCTTGGCTCTGCCAATTTCAGGGTAAGGTTTTCTGAAGTGGGTGACCCAGGCACCTGCTCCCATTGACTCTTCAGGTGTCACCTGCCCTGCCCAGAGGCTCCCTGTGTGAGTTCCGCTCACCCACACCCTCCTAGCCACGGCTGTGATGGAGGGGATGTGTGGTGAGACCTTCGAAGGCACAGCCCCTGCCCCAGACTCTCGGCCTCAGCAGCTGCAGTGAGCAGAAAGGGCACTCTTAACCCCCGAACACCAGGCTCGGGCCCCAGGCATTGTCCCACACCACGATGGAAGAGCAGTTCTTGGATACAAAGAGCAAATGAACCCTCTCTTTATCTTCCTGCCTGGAGCCTGGAGCCGGTGTCCTGTGGCCGCCCAGAGAGCAGCTTGGCAGGCCTGTCCTGAAGGTCCAGACCCAGCACAGCGGCCCCCTTCCCATCACCCTGTGAACAGGGTCATCCCTTTGCTTTCCTACGCGTGACCAGGAGATGGTGACACCAAGCGGAGGACCCGGCCAGGAGCGCAACAGGGCCAGCACACACACAGTGCTGAGGGTGCCAGGGGGACACGGGGAGTACCAGCCTGGCTGGGGCTGGAGCCGGAGCCTGGGACCCACCCAGGCAGGTGGCAGCACAGCCTCACCCAAGGTGGCTGCTGAGACCACCTGTGTCCTGAGGTGGCACTGGGGGGAGGACTTGGCCAAGCTCTGATCCCAGGCAGCACTGACTGGGGACGGAGCCCTCAGCAGGAAGGTGGTCAGGAAGGTGGTCAGAGGTGGGCTGTGGGCTGGGTGGAGCCCAGGAGAGCTGAGCTGCTGTGACCGCAAGGAAGCAGAGCAGAGCCGGGCGCAGGTGTCCAGGAGGATGATGGGAGAGGCGAGACGAGGCCAGATCTGGGGATGGGATGGGGAGGGGTACCAGCCGCAGGAGTCCACGGAAGACTGCGGGGTTGGCTCAGGGGGCAGATGGCTGCGTGCTAGAGATGTGGCCTCCCATGGGTGGAGTCTGGGCCTGAGCAAGGGCTCTTGGGGACCTCATCCCACCCCAGCCACCCAAGAGGAGCCCAGCCTGGCGCCGGTTTGGGCGTCACTCGGGATGTTCACAGCCCTCGGGACGAGCTGTGAGGAGGGAACATGTGACTGGCTCGGGACTGGGGAGCCCGAAGATGCCTGTGGTTCAAAGTGAAATTCAAGTTCTGAAGGAAGGGACTTAGGGACAGGCATTGAGATCTTCCACGGACAGACCCACAGCCAGGCAGCCCCACCCTTCGTACAGCACCTGTGCTGGCAGCCCCAGCTGGTGCCCTTCCCTGGAAGGGGTCCTGATGCCTTTTCCTGGGTCCCTGGGTGGGGCTGGGTCCCAGTGTCAGGCACTGCCTACAGCACCAACACACAGAGCCTCGGGATGGAACCCAGCATTCCTGGCTCTGCCCAGACGTGGGGAGGAAGAGGCTGTGGTTCAGACTCCCACCCAGAGGGCGTGCACACCCCCAACCTGTACCCCGGGAGACAGGTGCACCGCAAGCTGTAAAGTGACAGAAATCACATGGCCTTGGCTTGAAGCTGCTTGTAACCTACGACATTCACTTTCCCTTTCTCCAGAGAGAAGAGGGCACTGCAGGCGTGGAGAGAGCAAGCCCAGAGGATGAGGAAGAGAAAGGAAGAGCTCAGCAAACTCCTGCCTCCTCGGAGGAGCATGGTACGGCGCCCGCGGGTGGTGTCCAGGCCCTAGTCTGGTCCTGTGGTGGGTGGGTGCTCACATGCATCCCTGTCCACTGAGGATGAGCCCAGACCTGGGGAGGAAGCTGCCTGTGCCAGGCTGCTGGCTGGTGGGGCTGGGTTGGAATGCAGCATCCAGAACCATTGCCCACCGTCCCGCCAGAGGGCACAGCTTCCTGCCCCAGCCCTGAGGGCTCGCCTCGTCGGCCCTACAGAGGTCTTTCTGGGCTCCTCACCCTTGGTCTCTGGACCTCAGGGTAGGCTGTTCCCCTGGAAGCTGAGATTGCCGTGGGGCACAAGATGCCCTGAGTTCAGTCCCCTCTTCCTATTTTCCCCAGACTATGTGAGAGTCTCAGTCTGTGCCCTGGCACAGGGCAGCGGGCACAGGGTGGTGGGAGCTGGCGGCTCATCCCTCCAGAATGCGCCTGGCTTGCTTCTCTGTCCTGTGAGCAGTCAGGCAAATGTGCCTTTGAATTGGATCACGCGTGTTTCTTCAGTTCTTTCTTTTAGGAAATGCTTCCTGTATGTTACTCTGAAAGGCCAGGGTTGCCTCTGCAGCCCGCTCAGCTGGGGTAGGGACCCTGAGGGTTTCACCCGCAGAGAGTGGCCACGTTGGCCTGCAGGCGTGGACTGCTTGGTCACTTCTGGAGTGTGTGTTTCCTTTTTTTAACTTTGTATTGAACTAGTTTTAGATTTACAGGAAAGTTGTAAAAACAGTGGTTCCCTCTACCCTGTGGTTCCCAGCTGCCCTGGTGTTGACGTCTTACGTTACCTCAGAACACGGCTCAGGGTCAGGAATTCATGGTGTCCAGTGCGTTGGATGAAACCATGGCTCCACGTCTCGCCCTTTTCAGTTCTGGGCCCTGCAGGGCACTCGGTCTTCATTTTTGCTGTCACTTTTCCCCTAATTTTCCCAGTATGTAAAAATTTAAAAATACATATTTTGCTACTTCCAGGAATAAAAATGCTTGCACAATTAGACATTGCTAAGAATGCTTTCAGAGCTGAATTATAGCAAAAATATGGGAAGCTTAAATGTCACCAGATGGCTAAATTGTCACATCCAGACCATGACCCATCTCTGTGGCTGACCAGAAGGATGAGTCAGTGGCCACATCCACTGGCCTGAGAATGTCTTGAAGAAAATCATTGCAAGCTGTAGGACAGAGCGCAAAAACTCATGATAGTCTGGAAGGACGGACACCTAACCAAGGACTTTGCTGGGAGGGCTGTGGCTCCAGGGGGCGGGGCAGAGGAGGGGTCACTGTGGCCGCCAGGTGCGCCTCTGTGTCATGTGAGGCCATCGCAGCATGACTGTATGCACCGACTGCTGTTTCTTTTTTTTTTTTTGAGACGGTGTTTCACTGCTGTTACCCAGGCTGGAGTGCGATGGCGCGATCTCGGCTCACCGCAACCTCCGCCACCTGGGTTCAGGCAATTCTCCTGCCTCAGCCTCCCAAGCAGCTGGGATTACAGGCGCCACCATGCCCAGCTAATTTTTTGTATTTTTAGTAGAGACGGGGTTTTACCATGTTGACCAGGATGACCTCGTGATCCACCCGCCTCGGCCTCCCAAAGTGCTGGGATTACAGGCTTGAGCCACCGTGCCTGGCCTGTTTCTTAAAAAAGAAAAAAGTCGGTTTTCTAGAAACTCATCCATCATGAGCTAGACAGTACTGACAGCCTGCTCTAAGCAGGGAGGGAGCAGGCACAGGCCCTGCCCACCGGGGCCGCATGCGGGGCAGACCCCGGCATTGCAGCGGGCAGGGCCCCGTGGTAGCTGGCTGCTGTTCTGTGCACCTACAGGCCCTTAGATGAGGCAGCTAAACGCATGGGGAGCACGAGTGAGATATTTTGTATGGCCTGGAGTGCTGCAGTCAGAGTCCAAGGGAAAGTCTTTGTGCCAAATGTTGATATCTAATATATAAAGAATGGCTACAAATTGATTTTAAAAATCTGAGAAACCAGTAGAAGAAATGGGCAAAGAGTCTGCGGGTAGTCCATGGAGGAGGAAACCCAAGCGGCCGTAAATACACGAATAGATGCTCAGCCTGCTGGGACGTTGCCCACGGAAGAGGAAACCGAAGCGGCCGTAAATACACGAATAGATGCTCAGCCTGCTGGGATGTTGTCCACGGAAGAGGAAACCCAAGCAGCCGTAAATACACGAATAGATGCTCAGCCTGCTGGGACGTTGTCCACGGAAGAGGAAACCCAAGTGGCCGTAAATACACAAATAGATGCTCAGCCTGCTGGGATGATGTGGGGTGGACACGATGTGCAGGCACCTGTGTGCGTTTGGTGGGAAGGAGCCGCGGGGCATGGGAGGGGTCCAAGGGGGGGGCGTGGGAGGGGGCCTAGGCCTCTAGGCGTGGGAGGGGTCTGAGACAGTGGGGCGTGGGAGAGGATGTGGGGGCTCCTTCCACTTGCTACTTGGAAGGCATCCTTCCAAGTTAAGAATGTGTCCTTCTTTGAACACATTGAGGAGTCCGTTTTATAGAAATAAAAGCAGTCAAATTGTAAACATTTATGTATACAGATGTGTACATGTGTATTTCAGTATTGTTGGAGAGACAACTCAGATTTGCATGTCCATAACAGCAAAGTGGTTCCAAGCATTGCATCGGCCAGGCTCCCTGTAGCTGGGCAAGAGGATACAAGAGGGAACCAGGCCCTCGGCGGCCCCTGCTAGGTGGATCCCATTGGCCTGTGGTGCCCATGGGCTGGGCAGGGCTGGGGAATCATGGCCGCTGGCTTTGCAGCCTGGCCCCAGGGTGGGCCCGCCTGCCCTGCATGTGCTTTTGCTGATCCGTCACTGTGAGGTCACACCCTGAGTACATTTGATGGGGTGGGAGCCTTGAGGCTCCAGCTGCCTGAGGGGCTGCAGAGCTGAAGCCTGTGGCCGGGTAAAACCTGGGTATGTCACCTGCATTCGGAAGAGCACTGCGCTTCTCTTCATGTTGCTCTAAAACCAGCCATGACTCGAGCCCATGTTTTGGGCTTCAGATCGATTGCACATTTGACACTCCACATATAAACCCTGGCGCAAAGCCCCATTCCACGCCACCAAAGCGGCACCCTGTCATAGACTTCCCTTGTGTTTCACATTTATATTGGGTCCTTTGCTTGCTCACTAGAGAACTGGATGTTTGGAAAAGCCTTCTCTGTATTTTAGAGTGGGAGTAAATTGTGGATGGGTGGGCTTCTTTCCAAATATATATTTTTAATATCTTTACAAATTAAATGTCTGATTTTAAAAGAAAATAAAAACACCTACTGGATTTAGGATGGATTTATTTTTGAAACAGGCTGGAGTGCAGTGGCACAGTCTCGGCTCACTGCAGGCAGGCTGGAGGGCAGTGGCACAGTCTCGGCTCACTGCAGGCAGGCTGGAGGGCAGTGGCACAGTCTCGGCTCACTGCAGGCAGGCTGGAGGGCAGTGGCACTGTCTCGGCTCACTGCAGGCAGGCTGGAGGGCAGTGGCACAGTCTCGGCTCACTGCAGGCAGGCTGGAGCACAGTGGCACAGTCTCGGCTCACTGCAGGCAGGCTGGAGCGCAGTGGCACAGTCTCGGCTCACTGCAGGCAGGCTGGAGCGCAGTGGTACTGTCTCGGCTCACTGCAGGCAGGCTGGAGGGCAGTGGCACTGTCTCGGCTCACTGCAGGCAGGCTGGAGGGCAGTGGCACTGTCTCGGCTCACTGCAGGCAGGCTGGAGGGCAGTGGCACTGTCTCGGCTCACTGCAGGCAGGCTGGAGGGCAGTGACACTGTCTCGGCTCACTGCAGGCAGGCTGGAGGGCAGTGGCACTGTCTCGGCTCACTGCAGGCAGGCTGGAGGGCAGTGGCACTGTCTCGGCTCACTGCAGGCAGGCTGGAGGGCAGTGGCACAGTCTCGGCTCACTGCAGGCAGGCTGGAGCGCAGTGGCACAGTCTCGGCTCACTGCAGGCAGGCTGGAGCGCAGTGGCACAGTCTCGGCTCACTGCAGGCAGGCTGGAGCGCAGTGGCACAGTCTCGGCTCACTGCAACTTCTGCCTCCTGGGTTAGAGCAATTCTCCTGCCTTAGCCTCCTTAGTAGCTAGGACTACAGGCATACGCCACCACGACTGGCTGTTTCTTTATTTTTAGTAGAGATGAGGTTTTGCCATCCTGGACAGGCTGGTTTTGAACTCCTCACCTCAAGCAATCCGCCCAACTTGACCTCCCAAAGTGCTGAGATTATAGGTGTGAGCCGCTGAACCCGGCCAGGATTTAGCATTTTTTTCTTTCTCTTGGAAGAATCTTTGGGAGAATTCTGATCTCCTGGAAGTGTCCCTGCTCTCAGTCAGCCAAGAGTTTCCTCTGCTGTGTCTGCAGCCTGTGCCTGGCTTTATAGTGGGGTGGGAGAGACTGGAAAAAATTGATGGGTGGTCCCTCGTCCTCCCTGCCTCCCATCTTTCCACCCCTCTGGTTGCTAATCACTTTCTAAGTGTCAGGCACGTGCTAGGGTTAGACTAATGGCCAGACAGACAAGGGCCTAGCCCTAGAAATTCATTCAGAGGAGAGAATGGCGGGTAGAACAGTTCCAGACATCATCCAGGTAAATGCTAAACCGATCCTAAGAGTCTCCACGCTTCAAGAGCCCCTGGTTAGTTCTTCTCTCCTTCCCCTTTGCCAGGATTCCTTCTTACCTGTTTTTCTGACAGTCCCCGGGAACACACAGACACACAAGTGCACACTGCACACTGCTGGCACTCACACACCAGACCTGGCCCAAAGCTCCCTGAGGTCTGGAAGGGGTCAGTGTGGCTCTCAGATGTGTCCACTGGAGGCAGCAGTGAGCAGCATTGGTCCCGCCAACCTTGGGGTACTAACCTCCTCCTGCCTCGGTTGCACATCACAGCAAGTGGCGAGTGTTGGGTCCCCCCAGTTCTCCCAGGCTCTTGCACTGAAGCTGCAGAAACATCTGGGGCCACCGTGGAGAGGGGCCATTTAAAGATGCCCGCAGGAAGGAAGGCAGCTGCTGCAGCAACCCTGGCATGGGAGCATAAGGGCATGCAGGGCAGCCTTCCGAGCCTACCCCCAGGGTCCCCTTACTCTGCATCTTTCCCTCCCACCCCAGCCTGGGCTGTCAGGGAGGCCCCAGAAAGATGTCAAACAGATCCCAGCAGGGAGCAAGAGCTAGTCAAGACCTGGGGGGATGACCGCGTTGTGCGGAGACCTGGGGGGATGACCGTGTTGTGCAGACACCTGGGGGATGACCGCGTTGTGCACACATCTGGGGGGATGACCACGTTGTGTGGACACCTGGGGGATGAGCGCGTTGTGTGTTGTGTGGAGACCATCTACCCAGGGCAGCCTCGGACCCACCTCTTCAGGGACAAGGAGTGAGCCTAACACACCTGGCAGGTGAGCCGTGTGGGAAAACAGCCTCTACTGGGATTGCTGAAATAATCTCATTGCATTTTCCTAGGTAGCATCAAAGATTCCCTTTGCCACAGATCTGATAGATAATGGGAAAACACTGCTGAATCCACCTGGAAAAATGAAACCACACAAAGAGAAATCATCACAAGCAATTAAAGAAACGAGGTTGGTAACTGTGACTGGGCTTACCCAGCTGCCCATAGGTGGGTGCTGTTGTTTCCTCTCGAGGGTGCACTGAGCAGCCCTGAACCTCCGGGATGTGTGGGCACCAGGGATGCCAGGCAAGCCTGGAAGATGGGATCCCTTGCCCACAGGAAACTGCCTCTTCCAGCCATGGCTCCTGTAGGTCAGCAGGATGCAAAGTGCTGCCAAGCCCTCTGTGGTGGGTGCCGCTGTGGGTGCTGATGGGAGACGAGATCTGAGATCTGCCTGCTGCAGCCTGCCCTGCCCTGCCCATCCCGCCCCACCCTGCCCTGCCCTCCCCTCCCAGCCCTGCCCCACCCCGCCCTCCCCGCCCCACCCCGCCCCCACCACTCACCTCCCCAGGTCTTCTCATGCTGAATTCTGATCCCACTCCTCCCCACCCCGGGTCCTTAGACCTGAGCCTCAGGGCCACTCAGCCCTTGCCTTCATGGGATGTTGGGTAAGGTGGTGAGGCCAGGCATTGAACCAGGTGAAGGGAACCCAGGCAAGATAGCAGCCATGGGGTGGAGGAAACAGCGGAGCTGAGAAGTTGTGTTAGAAAGCACTTGAGACATCTTGATTTTGAGTCTCTGGCCAGGTGGCCCCGGGAGAGGAAGGCAGCTGTGGGTCCATGAGGCATCATTGGTGGGCCATGTAGGGGCCTGGAGATCAGGAGAGCAGGGAGGGCTATTCGGGAAGCCTGGTACTAGCCTAGGACAACATGAGGGGCAGGGTAGGGGCTCAGAGGTGTGCCCTGGGGACCAGGGAATAGGGATGGATGGAGCAAATGGGGCTGAGGAGTACTGGGTGGACCAGTGAGCGCACAGGGCAGGGCACTGTCCTCCTCGCATGGTGGACAGAGCAGAGTCAGGGTGTAAGGACACAAGCTGGACACTGGTCCTGGGGTGGGCCTTGAGGGCTAGGGGAGGGGCTTGGCTGGGAGGGTGACAGCAGCTGCTCAGGGGTCCCAGGGCTCACCCCCTCACCTCACAGCAGCTCAGGGGTCCCAGGGCTCACCCCCTTATCTCACAGCAGCTCAGGGGTCCCAGGGCTCACCCTTCTCACCTCACAGCAGCTCAGGGGTCCCAGGGGCTCACCCTTCTCACCTCACAGCAGCTCAGGGGTCCCAGGGCTCACCCTTCTCACCTCACAGCACCTCAGGGGTCCCAGGGCTCACCCTTCTCACCTCACAGCAGCTCAGGGGTCCCAGGGGCTCACCCTTCTCACCTCACAGCAGCTCAGGGGTCCCAGGGGCTCACCCTTCTCACCTCACAGCAGCTCAGGGGTCCCAGGGACTCACCCTTCTCACCTCACAGCAGCTCAGGGGTCCCAGGGCTCACCCTTCTCACCTCACAGCAGCTCAGGGGTCCCGGGGCTTACCCTTCTCACCTCACAGCAGCTCAGGGGTCCCAGGGCTCACCCCCTTATCTCACAGCAGCTTAGGGGTCCTGGGCTCACCCCCTCATCTCACAGCAGCTCAGGGGTCCCAGGGCTCACCCTTCTCACCTCACAGCACCTCAGGGGTCCCAGGGCTCACCCCCTTATCTCACAGCAGCTTAGGGGTCCTGGGTTCACCCCCTCACCTCACAGCACCTCAGGGGTCCCAGGGCTCACCCCCTCATCTCACAGCAGCTTGGGGGTCCTGGGCTCACCCTTTCACCTCACAGCAGCTCAGGGGTCCCAGGGGCTCACCCTTCTCACCTCGCAGCACCTCAGGGGTCCCAGGGCTCACCCTTCTCACCTCGCAGCACCTCAGGGGTCCCAGGGCTCACCCTTCTCACCTCACAGCACCTCAGGGGTCCCAGGGCTCACCCTTCTCACCTCACAGCAGCTCAGGGGTCCCAGGGGCTCACCCTTCTCACCTCACAGCAGCTCAGGGGTCCCAGGGCTCACCCTTCTCACCTCACAGCAGCTCAGGGGTCCCAGGGCTCACCCCCTTATCTCACAGCAGCTTAGGGGTCCTGGGCTCACCCCCTCATCTCACAGCAGCTCAGGGGTCCCAGGGCTCACCCTTCTCACCTCACAGCACCTCAGGGGTCCCAGGGCTCACCCCCTTATCTCACAGCAGCTTAGGGGTCCTGGGCTCACCCCCTCACCTCACAGCACCTCAGGGGTCCCAGGGCTCACCCCCTCATCTCACAGCAGCTTGGGGGTCCTGGGCTCACCCTTTCACCTCACAGCAGCTCAGGGGTCCCAGGGGCTCACCCTTCTCACCTCACAGCACCTCAGGGGTCCCAGGGCTCACCCTTCTCACCTCACAGCACCTCAGGGGTCCCAGGGCTCACCCTTCTCACCTCACAGCAGCTCAGGGGTCCCAGGGGCTCACCCTTCTCACCTCACAGCAGCTCAGGGGTCCCAGGGGCTCACCCTTCTCACCTCACAGCAGCTCAGGGGTCCCGGGGCTCACCCTTCTCACCTCACAGCAGCTCAGGGGTCCCGGGGCTCACCCTTCTCACCTCACAGCAGCTCAGGGGTCCCGGGGCTCACCCTTCTCACCTCACAGCAGCTCAGGGGTCCCAGGGGCTCACCCTTCTCACCTCACAGCAGCTCAGGGGTCCCAGGGCTCACCCCCTTATCTCACAGCAGCTTAGGGGTCCTGGGCTCACCCCCTCATCTCACAGCAGCTTGGGGGTCCTGAGCTCACCCTCTCACCTCACAGCAGCTTCCTTTGATTTCTCATGTTCACAGCTCCTATAGCTGAGTTAGCGGCTACACCCTGGGGGTGACCACTGGGCTCCCTAGTCGTGTCCACCTCCTCTGAGCCGTGTATGAGGACCAGGCTGAGGCGGGACCTTGGTGTGGGTATGCCTTCCTATCCAGGCATTGCCCACGCCAACTCTTCAGCTGGGCCCCTCCCTCGTATCTCCCAGGTATCCTGGGAAGCCGAGGGGGCTCAGGGAGACCACTGGAAGCCCCGGGGCGTGAGCACAGCTCTCCCGTGTCCCTGTACTTTCCCAGCTGCTCTCTTCTGACCTGCACGAGGCTCGGCTGTGGCTGTCACTGAATGTGCCTCACTGGACTCAGAGGCCAGAGCAGAAGGGACTGTGGGTACTGAGCTTGGGAGGCCCCAGGCCTGGCCCCTGGCCCTGCTGCTCAGCCTGCATCTACCAGGGGGCGCCCCACTCAGTTTAACGTCCCCTGTATCCCAGCTGCGAGGTGGGATGAGACGCGGGTGGCAAAGGGTGATGTTCTCTTCCCGCAGAATTTGTTCCTCACGGAGGCCAAGAGTATGGGGAAAATCTCGAAGGTCACCTGGGTTGGATTAACTCCCCAAGCTTGTGAGAGTGGTTTACACTAAAACCATTTGCTCTCAAACATTCAGATGCTCTCCTACATCAGACCACGGTGGCCTGCTAACCCCCATCACCCTGGGGCACAGGAAGAGCTGGGGTCTGAGGCGCTGACAGAGCATGCCTGACCTGGTGGCTGCGTGCCCTAGGACTCCAGAGGACGTCACGCTGTCTCTCCCGCGGTTACGCTGAAAAGCAGACAGAACTGGCACAAGCCCTGCTGCTGGGAGTGACAGGGTTTCCAGGGAGGCCGAGTGAGGGGTGCCATCTGTTCACAGTGGTGCATGCACCTACACCCACGCCCGCGCCCACACCACACCCACACCCATGCCCGCACCCGCGTCCTCACCATACCCACGCCCACATCACACCCATGTCCACACCACACCCACGCCCACACCACACCTGCGCACATGTCACCACACCCATGCCCACACCACACCCACACCCACACCACACCCACGCCCACAGCACACCCATGCCCTTGCCCACACCACACCCACGCCCGCACCCGCGTCCTCACCACACCCGCGCCCACCCCGTACCTGCGCCCACACCACACCCACTCCCACACCACACCCACACCCACACCACACCCACGCCCACAGCACACCCATGCCCTTGCCCACACCACACCCACGCCTGCACCCGCGTCCTCACCACACCCACGCCCGCACCCACGTCCTCACCATACCCACGCCCACATCACACCCATGTCCACACCACACCTGCGCACACGTCACCACACCCACGCCCACACCACACCCGCGCACACGTCACCACACCCACGCCCACACCACACCCGCGCACACGTCACCACACCCACGCCCACACCACACCTGCGCACACGTCACCACACCCATGCCCACACCACACCCACGCCCGCACCCGCGTCCTCACCATACCCACGCCCACATCACACCCATGCCCACACCACACCCACACCCACACCACACCCGCGCCCACAGCACACCCACGCCCACAGCACACCCATGTCCACACCACACCCACGCCCACACCACACCTGCGCACACGTCACCACACCCACGCCCACACCACACCTGCACACATGTCACCACACCCATGCCCACACCACACCCACGCCCACAGCACACCCATGCCCTTGCCCACACCACACCCACGCCCGCACCCGCGTCCTCACCACACCCGCGCCCACCCCATACCTGCGCCCACACCACACCCACTCCCACACCACACCCACACCCACAACACACCCATACCCGCATCATCACACCCGCACCCGCACCCTTACCACACCTGCGCCCGTGCCCACACCACACCCGTGCCCACTCCACACCCACGCCTGTGCCCCCTCACTCCCACACCCAGGCCCACATCTACTCCCATGCCTACGCCCATACCTCCACTTCCACCCCTGCCCACACCCTGTACACACTCATGCACACAGGAGTGGACCCGGCCACCCCGCAGCTCACCTACAGCAGATCCCCAGCTCTCCTCCACCACTCTGAGTCATTGTCTTTAAAATCAAAGGAACCCCAAGCCCCTGAGCCCCAGTGCTAACAGAGGAAATATGTTTAAAACAATCACTGAATACAGTTTTCTATTTTTCTATTTAAGGATTCGGGAGAGCTGAGTGTTCCGCGTGAGAACAAAGACGTGCTTTCCCCTTCCTGTGGCAGCGTGCAGTGCCCTAAATGTGTCATATCTTAAATCAGCCTGAGGTTTTTAAATACGAAGCGTGTGTTCTGGCAGCTTCTGAACTACTGAATAAGGGATGGGAGAAGCAGTCCAGGACCTGGGAGTGAGTCTGGAGGAGAGAGGGTGCCAGGGAGGCCGAGGTAGCTCCACAGTAGCCGGCGTCACCGTGCGAGGGCTTCTGGGAAGAAGGAGCACGCTTTCTCCCGGGTTACAGTGGGAGTTGCCAGGACGAGAGTAAATGTATCATCTCCCTCCCTGCCCCTGGTTTCTCCGTGCCTTCCAAGAGGGAGATTTGGAAGAGAGAATCAAACAGCACATCCACCAAATGCATGAGCAAAGACGAGTCCGTGGCCAGGCCCCACTGGAGGAGATGAGGAAGGCTGCCGGGGATCTGGAAATGGGGAGGACTTCTTGGTTCTGTTTAAAAAATTGTGGGGATTTTGTTTTTCGTTTTTGTTTTTTCTGTTTTTGTTTGAGATGGAGTCTCACTCTGTCATCCAGGCTGGTGCGATCTCGGCTCACTGCAACCTCTGCCTCCCAGGTTCAAGCGATTCCCCTCCCTCAGCCTCCTAAGTAGCTGAGATTACAGGCACACACCACACCCAGCTATTTTTAGTAGAGATGGGGTCTCACAATGTTGGCCAGGCTGGTCTCAAACTCCTGACCTCAGACGATCTGCGCACCTTGGCCTCCCAAAGTGCTGGGCCACCACGCCCAGCCCAAAATGCAGTTTTGTTGAAAACGAAAGGAACTCACTGTGCCTCTTCAGAGCACGTGTTCTCTAGAAACCATGGGACTGAAAACCACGGGATTGTGTCGAATGTGTCTTATGAGGGTGTGGGAATTCCCAGAATTACAGTTGGTCAGATGAGAAGGAAAACCTTTCAGCCGAGGTCCTGAGCCCTCAGATGTGCGAGGCTACATGGTGGACCTTGGCATCTTAACACTGGGCAGCTGATGGCAGGAGTGACAGCCTGCTGGCGGGCTGGGGGCCGGGGGCCGGGAGCCAGTCCTCTGCACGTCTGTGGGGTGCTTGCTCGAGGCTTGGCACACAGCGGAACCAAGCTCTGGACCCAGGGCTGGGCCATGAGGGACGCTACTGCAAAGAAGGGTCTGGCTGAGGCCACCTGGACCATGGCTGCCATGCTCAGTGTCTGTGTAGGCAGACCGACATTCATGGGGATCTGAGGCCTCCTGACCAGGAACCTCCTACGTGGAACAGCTCTCAAAGGTGTCTCCTGTACGTTTGGAATGTTAACCGTCCCCTCAGCCACTGCTAATGCTGTTTATCCACTCAGCGTACGCTGATGCCTGCCTTCTGGTAGCTGGAGAGTCCTGGGTGGTGGGAGAGACGCAGGGATGAAGGAGAGTGCTTTGTTGCCCAAATTGCTGCCTGGCCAGCCCATCCAGCTGTAGAAGGACACAGCTGCCGTCGCTGGCAGTGAACCTGGATACCCGTGTCCCCACCCTTCTTACAGCCATAAGAATGCTGGCCTGTCCTCCCAAGCTACCCAAGGCCCCTGGCTGGTGGACTCTTCCAGGTCAGTGTGCTGTGCCCAGACACAGGTCAGGCTGGTGTGGGCTGCATCTGGGCTGCCCCCAGAGCAAAGAGCACTGTCAGAGGAGGAAGCAGACCCGGCCTTCCTGTGCCCACGCCCCATCTCCAGGCTGCGTTACCCCGTCTCCCTCTCTCCTAAAGCGGATGAGAGAGAGGAGGCGTGAGAGCAGGATGTAGACACTTCACGGAGACCTCACCCAGCCTGACTCGGACCCCTCTCCGGAGACTTTTCCTCGCCGGCCCAGGGCGTTTGTACCTGCCTTTAGATGAACTTTTACTCCTCTAAATCTGTCATTTATTAGTATAACCTTGTCTGTGGACACTGGAACGTGTCTCAATCCATCGCTTCAGGGTGTGGACTCAGAAGTCTATTTGGTGTTATAAACAGGTCTAGGCCCACAGGTTTCATCACTTTAATGAAATAGATGAATCCCTTGAAACACAACATCTGCCAGAACTTGCAGAAGAAATAAGTGATGTGGAGATGCTTGTATCTGTCACAGAAATTTAACCAATAATTCATTACATCGCAAAACAGAGGCCACAGGCCCAGCTGGGCCCACTGGCGGACTCCACCCAACATTTAAGGTTGAAGGAAGAAACTGTGCCAATTCCCTGTCCTCTCTTCCAGAGACAGAGACAGAGGGAAAGCTCCTAACTCATTCTGGGGCCAGCATTACTCTAGTACCAGAACCATGCGAAGGTATTACAGGAAGGGAGCGCGTGAACAGCATTGCTCACGAACATAGATGCAGAAATTCTCAGCATTCAGAAATCAAATCCAGAAGTGAGCAAAACAATCACACACCCTAGTTCAACGTTTAAAAGTCATCACAGCAGTAAGCTAAACAAGAAAACCCAGTCGATGTAGAGAAAGCATCTGACAAAATATAACAGCTCTCATGATAAAATCTCTGCAAATTAGGATAAGCTGGGAACTTCCTCAGCTTGTGAAAGCAGATCCGGAAAAGGCCTACAGCTAACATTATTCTTAACGGTGAGAAATCGGAAGCCCTCCTTTCCCCTGCTCCCTGCCCGGCGACGGGGCCCTCCTTCCGCCTTGACCCCTTCCTGGTTGCTGCCACTCAGCCAGCACGTGGGACAGTGGACTCCATCCTAGAGCTTCTAGTCTCTCACCATTAAGAATAAAGTTAGCTGTAGGTCTTTTCTGGATCTCCGTCTCAAAAAAAAAGGAAGCAGAGTCTGTACAGGTCATGCCAAGGCCCTGAGTCCGCTTTCCTACTCTGCCCAGCCCAGCAGGAGACAGAGGAGACAGGGCTGTCTCTAGGGAAGCTGACCAACCAGGCACCACGGTGGTGACAGCGGCCACGCGTGGCCTTCCTGAGCCCTGCAGAAGGGCAGGTGCACAACGGACCAGGAGGGCCAGCCGGCTCCGTGGCACTGTCTGAGACACCAGCCAGCCAAGGCAGTTACTGATCAGTTTGCTTCTTGTAGAAATCTGGGTCAGTAACAAGTGATATTGACCATGTTGTGGTGCCATAAGCCTTCAGTGGCGCTCTAGCCCAGGTCTGTGATGTGGCTGTATGAGGGGAGGAGGAGGCTGCAGGGGTCTCCGGGGACCTGCACTGGAGGGAGAGTCCAACCCATGCCCCCATCGGGGCAGGCTGCAGAGGGAGAGGGGAGCCGGGCAGCCCAGGGCTCCTGTGCTTGGAGTGGGGAGGTTGGGACTCGGCAGAGGCGATGCCTACGGACTGGAGGGGCAGGAAAGGAAAGAGCCCCTCCTTAGCTGCTGCACCTGAGTTCCCCGCAGTGCCCTCCCCAGCTTCCCTTGTTCTGCCCAGGCCATTGGCCGCAGAGCCTGGGTTTGGAACAGAAAGCCTGCCCTGCTTTCAGACTTGGCAGTTCCTTCTCCTGCCCCGGATTCATGGCTCCTGTGTCTGTGGGGTGAGGGTGGCAATTGTGGCCTCATCTGCCTCCCGGGTCTCAGGTAGGGTCATGACTGTGGTGAGGCTTGCCAGCATGCTGCCCAGGTGTGGCACCAGCCTTCCCTTTGCCTGCAGGATGGGACCCTGAGACTGTTCATCCACTGACCTGCATCTCTCAGGAGACTGCACAGGACACCTGGGTGGGGCCACATGTGTGCATGCAGAGGGCGGTGTCTTGGGGTGGAAGGCTTAGGAGCTGGCTGGAAGTAGGCTGCCAGCCCGTCACAGGGGGAACCGTGCCATGATGCGGCTTGCAGGGACCCCTGGGGAAGCAGGGCTGGTCCTGCTCACTCCCACATGGCCTGGGCCCCACATGGAATCTGAGCCAGAGAGGTAGGGACGTCCTGAGTCCTGCCAGCCTTTCTAATGCCACCCCACTTGCCTCCCACAAGGCCAGAGAGCTACAGGATGAAGTATGGAAGCTAAAAGTGGGATTAGCCTTGGACACAGACCAGCGATGGACTGCCCTCACTGGAGGCCTTTTGCTTCGCCCGCCAGCGTCACAGCCTCGAAATACATTTTTTAACACAAAATATGAAGAATCAGGAAATGTTCACAGATGCCAGTGACACCAAGTGGCTGCACTGATGGAAACGTCTTCAAACAGAAGATGCTCAGTCTTCTTTCTCGGCTGTCGCCTCCTGCCTGATGGCCGGGAGGGCACCAGGCTCAGCGTTCCTCTTATGGCTGTTTCACGGCAGCCTGTTGGTCTCAGACGGCCCATGTTTCTCCTGAGGCTGTGGAAGATTTCCGCCGAACTAAAAGAAAGGACATGGTGAGCACGTGGCCCGCTTTCGCTCCTTTCCGCAGGTTCCTGCCAATCCACGTGACAGAAAGGTCAGGCACGGGCCTCTCTCCTGCCCTGGAGCCCTTGTTACAAAGTCCTCATAGCTTTCGCTCACTTCGTTATTTTAGTGTGGGAGGGGAGACCAGGTCACCTGATTCCTGCCAGGCCAGATTTAGGGACTTGCCCCTGCCCGGAGGCAGGGCCCTCCTTTCCTGCTCCCTGCCCAGTGACAGGGCCCTCTTTGGCCTTGACCCGTTCCTGGTTGCTACCACTCAGCCTGCACGTGGGACAGTGGGCTCCATCCCAGGGCCACGGCAGGGCCCGCACACCTCACGCCATAGATCAGACTTACTTCACGCTCTGCCTGCCCAGGCTGTGTAGATTCTGTGTGACTTAGTCTCTTGTGCTGAGCGTTTGACTGGATCTTGAAAACATTTTCATTTGATTTCTTTAAAAGAGATAAGACAATTCAGGCTGCTTTTTGGTAAATATGGTTTTCAGTGAGTTTCCGCGTTTCATCCAGTTTGTGCTGCGTGTTAGCATAGAGCTCCTCAGGATTCCCTCATGTTCTCAGGGCCTTAGGAGCCGCAGCGACGACCCTTTCCATTCTTGGCCTTGTGCTCTTCATCGTTCTTAACAGGGATCTATCAGTGTTGTTCTGCTTTTGCAGAAACCCCAGGCCACTGGATTTGCGGTCTGTTTTCTGTCTCACGGGTCTCTGGCCCTGCATTTTCTTTCTGTGCTCTCTGAGGGTTTAACTGGTGCTTAGAGAGAAACGCATCACTTCTTTTTTTTTTTTTTTTTTTTTTTTTTTTTCTTTTTTTGAGACAGAGTTTCGCTCTTGTTACCCAGGCTGGAGTGCAATGGCGCAATCTCGGCTCACCGCAACCTCCGCCTCCTGGGTTCAGGCAATTCTCCTGCCTCAGCCTCCCAAGTAGCTGGGATTACAGGCACGCACCACCGTGCCCAGCTAATTTTTGTATTTTTAGTAGAGACGGGGTTTCACCATGTTGACCAGGATGGTCTCGATCTCTTGACCTCGTGATCCACCCACCTCGGCCTCCCAAAGTGCTGGGATTATAGGCGTGAGCCTCCACGCCCAGCCGACAATCGCGTCACTTCTGAACCCACGTACTAGAGAGGAAGGACGGTGTGCAGTTGATCACCTAAGCTTTCCGCTAGAGAAGCTAGAAAAGGTGCCCGTGGCCGGTTACGGCCCAGCAGCCAGAGCAGCAGACATTCATTTAGCATTCCTCGCGTCCGAGGGCAGGAGTCGGAGCACCTAGCCGGCCTCGCTGCCCGGGGCCTCTCGTGAGGCTGGAGTCAGCTGTGGGTCGGGCTGCGCTGCTTTGAAGGTTTAACTGGGCTTGGGGCTCAGCTTCCAAGTTGCTCACCTGGTTGTTGATCAGAGAGCGTGTCCTCTGTGATCCCAGTCTTTGGAAGCTGTGAGGCCTTGCCCTGTGGCCTGCCCCAGGGTATATTTTGGTTAATGTAGACTGTGCACTTGAGAAGAATATATTTTGGAGTCACTGGGGACGTTGTTTTGTGTGTGTCTGGTGACACTGACTAATCCTGCTGCTCGGAGCTCCTGTACCCGTACTGACTGCCTCATTTAAACTTGGTTTATCAGTTACGGAGAGAGGCCTGTCCACAGTTCTAGCTGTGACCGTGAACTTGTCCTTTTTTCTTAGTTATGTCAGCTTTGCTCTGTGTTTTGGGGCTGTTTTATCAGATGCCTCCGAATTTAGGATTGTTTTATCTTCTTGTTGGACTGACCTCGTCGTTACTGTGAAGTGTTTCCTCCCCTCTCGTTTGCGCTTCTTGCCTTCACGTGCATTTTGCCTGATAATACAGGCACACGCTGCTGTCTCAGTCAGCGCTTCCGTAATAGGTGTTTTTCCACCCTTGGGCTGTCAGCCTCCCTGTCTTCATGCTGCACACAAAGTGCGTCTTATACAGACATACAGTTGGGACTCCTTTTCTTTCTGTCACTGGCCAGTGCTGTCTTCTGAGAGGTAGGGCGTTTGGGCCCCTCGAGTTTAAGGTGAGTGTGCACGTGGCTGCTTCTGTGCCACCGTCTTGCTCCTCGTTTTATGGATCTCAAGTTTTTATTCCTTTATCCTTCTTTTGCTACTTTCTGGTAGTGATCAATTTTCTTATTTATATCTCTTCTCTTGGAGTTTTAGTAATATGTTTTTCTATCGTTCTCTTGGGTGTTGGCTGAGAGATTGATACACACCCTTAAGTTCATTAGCATCTCCCGAAGGAGCCCGTGAGGCTGAGAAGGCCCCTCCCGTCTGCTGATGTCACCCATCTTCCTTCCCCAGGAGGTGCACCAGACACAGGCACCGCGTGCCCAGCAGGGATTCTCTTCACCGGTAAAGACCGTCCTGAAGCTCTTCCTTCCTGCAGCTTCCTGCCCCAGTGAGGGCTGATTTTCATTCATCCAAATAACTTTTTTTTCTAGTATTTCTTTGTATCATGGTTATGTTTTGATGGGCAGTAAATTCAGCTTTTGTTTGTCTGAAATACATTTAGTTGCCCTTTATTCTGCACAGGACAGAACTCTAGGCGGATGTTTCCGCCACCCCCAGCACTTGAGCGATCTGCTCCACTGTCTTCTGGCTCCGTGAGTTTTGTTAAAAGCTCAGCTTTCATTGTTATTTGCTGCTCCTTTGAAGGTGAGTGTCTTACCTTGCTTTTTTCTTTATCTTAAATTTTTTTCTCATCTTTGGTTGTATGTGATTTTCTTTTTACTTATTTTTCTTGGAATATACAGAACTCAAATCTGGGAGTTGGTATCTTTCATCAGTTTTGGAAAACTCTTAGCCATTATTGTTTTGACTTTTTTCCCCGGTTCGTCTTCTTTTTGAGACTTCAGTTTTGTGTGTGTGCCTGTGTGTGTGTGTGCGTGTGTGCGTGTGTGTGTGTGCATGTGTGTGTGTATGCGTGTGTGGGCATGCGTGTGTGTCCGTGACCTGCGCATCTCTCCTCTCTGTCTTGTGTTCTATTTTTTCATTCCTCTCTGTACATCAGGCTAGATGTCTCCGGATTTTTTTAATCCTGTCTTCTGATGTGTCCCACAGAAAAACCCATGAGGCTTTTTAACATTGAAAACATTAGGCTTTATGATAGAAAAAAAACATGAACCTTGATGATTGTGCTGTTGCACTCAGAAAAACATCCCAGGCTCTGAGCAGCATCTTTCCTCGGCCAAGTCGGCTTCCTGGTGAGCCTCAGGGAGTGCGTGGGCTCTGATGCCATCCTCTTCCTCCCTGGCATTCCTCTTCCTCCGTGTTCTCCTGCTCCTCTCTCCCAGAATTCATGTCTGCTCGAACATGGCCTCCACCTTTTCCATTAGATCCTTTTGCATCATCATCAGAATGATTTTTTAAATAAATGTTTTCTTTCAATGAGCTTTAAATTTCAGATACTGTGTTTTTCAGGTCTAAGATGTCTGGTAATTTTTTGTGGATGCCAGTTCTCTGTTGAAATTCTCCATATTTTCATTTCCTTTATATATCTATATACATATTACATATGTTTTCTATAACATATTACATTTGTCTCCTAAGTTTTTAGTGAGTGCCCAGCATTGTATACAGTTGACCCTTGAACAAGAACTTGAATTATAAGGGTCCACTTGTAAGTGGCTTTTTTTTTTTTTGAGATGGAGTTTTGCTCTGGCCACCCAGGTTGGAGTGCAATGGTGCAATGGCACAGTCTTGGCTCACTGCAACCTCCGGTTGAAATTCAAGAGATTCTCCTGCCTCAGCCTCTTGAGTAGCTGGGATTACAGGCGCCCACCACCATGCCCGGCTAATTTTTTGTATTTTTAGTAGAGGCAGAGATTCACCATGTTGGCCAAACTGGTCTCAAACTCCTGATCTCAGATGATCCACCTGCCTCAGCCTCCCAAAGTGCTGGATTACCAGCGTGAGCCACTGTGCCCAGCCATAAGTGGATTTTTGAAAACAAATATATTGGAAAAATTTTTGGAAATTTGCAACAATTTGAAAAGATTTGCAGACAAACCACATAGCCTAGAAATATCTTTAAAAAAATAAGAAAATGTTAGGTATGTCACAAAGGCATAAAGTATACAAACCATACATAGACCATTCACGGTAGAGAGAAACGTAGCCGAAAAGATGCAGCATTGGCTGGGCTCAGTGGCTCACATCTGTAAGGACTTTGGGAGGCCAAGGCAGGCAAATCCCCTGAGGTCAGGAGTTCGAGACCAGCCTGTCCAACATGGCAAAACCCCATCTCTACTAAAAATACAAATATTAGCCAGGCATGATGGAACATACCTGTAATCCCTGCTACTCAGGAGGCTGAGGCAGGAGACTCACTTGAACCCAGGAGGCAGAGGTTGCAATGAGCCGAGATCGCGCCACTGCACTCCAGCCTGAGGGACAGAGCAAGACTCTGTCTCAAAAAAAATTCAGCATTAAATCATAACTGCATGAAATTAGCTGCAGTCCACAGCTTGCTGCTGGAATAATTACAAAGCCACCCCCCGTCGCTATTGCAGTGAGCCCAAGCATTTCAAGGATCTGCTTAAAACACTGTGCGCTGCTCAGCTTCTCTGCATGAGCAGTTCATGTCTTCAGTACACTGTGTATCACAGTAAAAAGTCATCTACTTTAACTGGACATGGTGGCACACGCCTGCAGTCCCACTTCTCAGGAGGCAGAGGCAGGAGGAGCCCTTGAGCCCAGGAGGTCGAGGCTGCAGTGACCTGTGATTGCACCACCGCACTCCAGCTTGGGCAACAGAGTGAGACCCCAACCTGAAAAAAAGGTGACATCTGGAAGTTCTTGTGTATTTTTCATGTTTAGTGCAATACTGTAACCCTTGAAGAAAACTTTGGGACCCATGCAGAGCGTCACCAGCCATGCTGAAGAGCTGCTGAGAAGCAGAGAGAAGTCACGACATTTCAAGAGAAAGTTGGGTTTCTTGGTATGTTCCGTGGATTGAGCTTTACAGCTGTGGTTGCCTACCAATTAAAGATAAATGGATCCAGCATAAGGACCACGGTAGAAAAAAAAAAGGAAATGTGTGAGCAGACACAAACACTTTATACTTTCTGTGAAATGCCTTTTTATCTTGTATTGGGAGTGCAGCTTTTACATGAGTGCAGGGTTGCTGTGTGTGATATTTCATATTAAGTGTCAACTTGATGAGACTGAAGAATTGTTCAAAATCTTGTTTCCGGGTGTTTCTGGGTGTTGCGTCGGTGGACTGGGAGAGGACCCACCACACTGTGGGTGGCCACCATCCCATCAGCTGCCAGCATGGCTGGGAAAAGCAGGCAGAAGAAGGAAGCTTCTGGCTGAAGCTGACCAGCTGGGTCTTCTGGCCTTCATCTTCCTCCCGTGCGGGAGGCCTCCTGCCCTCGAACGTCAGACTCCGAGGCCTTCAGCTTGTGGGCTCTTGGGCTTACACCAGTGGTTTGCCAGAGGCTCTCGGGCCTTCAGCCACAGACTGAAGGCTGCTCTGTCGGCTTCCCTCCCTTAGAGGTTTGGTGACTCGGACTCAGCTACTGCTGGCCTCCTTGCTCCTCAGTTCGCAGACGGCCTATTATGGGACCTCACCCTGTGATCGTTTGTGTCACCTCTCCTTACTAAACCCCCTTTGATATGTGTGTCTATCCTGCTCTGTCCCTCTAGAGAACCTTCCTAATACACTATGAGAAAGGTATACCTGTAGACTCTTCAAACAAAAGGAAGAAGGATCTGAAGCTGGAGAATCTAATGCCAGCAAAGGATGGTTTGATAATTTTAGAAAGAGACTGGCCGGAAAAATGTCAAGATAACAGGAGAAGCAGCTTCTGTTGGCCAAGGGGCAGCAGACAAGCTCCTGAACAGCATGAGGAAGGTCACTGAGGAGAAAGGATATCTGCCTGAACAGGTTTTTAATGCAGACATAAGTTCCCTGTTCTGGGGGGAAAAGATGCCACAAAGAACATTAATTAGGAAGAGAAGCAAGTACTAGAATTTAGGGCAGGAGGGGAGAAGCCAGCTCTGCTGTTCTGTGCAAATGCAGCCAGATTATGATCAGAACTGCCCTTATCTAGAAAGCTGCTAACCCCTGAACTTGAAGGGAAAAGAGAAACACCAGCTTCTTGGTTGTAAAGGAAGGCTGGACAAGAACCCCTGTTCTGCGTTGATTTCGTTGAAGCTTTGTCCCTGAAATCAGGAAGTACCTTCCTTCCTATAAGTGACTGCCTTTTAAAGGTCTGGTATTGGGCAATGCCCCTGGGCTACCCAGAACCCCACCAGTTCAACACAACACTGAAGGTGTCAAAGGCACCTGCTTGCCCCCAAACACGTCTCTAACACAGCATCTGGCCCAGAGGTCATAGGGACCTTGAAGCGTCATTGCACGAGGCACTGTGTGGACAGGCGTGTCAGTGCTGGGGAGGAGAACCTCAGGAGAGAGCGCCATGGAAGTCTGAGGGACCACACACTGAACGTGCCGTCGTGGTCAGAAAGCCACGAGACCTGAAACAGCACATTCTTAGTGGAAAACTGTCCAGATGTTGTGCACAACCTCACAGCATCATGGAAATGATGGAAAAGGAACGAAATCCTGCCACTTCCCACCACCTGGATGGGACGGGGTCGTTATGTTACGTGAAATAAGCCAGGCACAGAAACACAAGTATCACTTGTTCTCACTCATGTAGGGGCTAAAAAAGTGGATCTCATGAAGATAGACAGCAGACTGGTGGTGACTGGAGCCGAGAAGGGGCAGGGAAGAGGGGGACACGGGGGGACTAATGAGTGGAAATCCACAGTGAAATGGAAGAAATAAGACCTGGCGTTTGATAGATCCACAGGGTGACTTCCTGAGTTCAGTCAATTATGCATTTCAGCATAGCCAAAAGAGAATCACTGAAATGTTCCTAGCAGAAAGAGAAGACATATTTAGGGTGATGGGCATCGCAATTACCCTTGATCCTCACACATATGAGTGTCATTACTACATGTACCCTCAAAATCCGTACTTTTTATTATTTTTATTTAAAGACAGAATCTCACTCTTGTTGTTCAGGCTGGAGTGCAGTGGCGCAATCTCAGCTCACTGCAACCTCTAACTCCCAGGTTCAAGCAATTCTCCAGCCTCAGCCTCCGGCGTAGCTGGGACTGCAGGCGGGTGCCACCACGTGCAGCTGATTTATTTGTATTTTTAGTAAAGATGGGGTTTCACTGTGTTAGCCAGCATGGTCTTGATCTCCTGACCTCGTGATCTGCCCACCTCAGCCTCCAAAAGTGCTGGGATTACAGGCGTCAGCCACTGCACCCAGCCTGGCTTATTTTTATTTATTTTTCTTGAAACAGAGTCTCAGTCACCCAGGCTGGAGTGCAACATTGCAATAACGGCTCGCTGCAACCTGCAACTCCGGTGTTCAAACCGTTCTCCCGCCTCAGCCTCCCGAGTACCTGGGATTACAGGCACCTGCCACCACGCCAAGCTAATTTTTTTGTATTTTCAGTAGAGACGGGGTTTCACCATGTTGCTAGGCTGGTCTTGAACTCTTAACCTTGTGGTCTGCCCGCCTCGGCATCCCAAAGTGCTAGAATTACAGGTGTGAGCCACCGTGCCTGGTATATGTTTATTATATATCAAAAGAAGTTGTGGAGACAGCAAAAAAGATGAAGATGAAGAGTTTCAAGATACGAGTCTTGGAGAAATTCAAGAGCTAATAGACACCGCACCAGAGCAGTGAACAGAAGAGACTGACAGAGGTGAGTGCTTCCAGGCTGGGCAACGAGGAGGGAGACGTAGAAGCAATGCCGGGAGAGAAGCTGGCCCAGGACCCTGGCAGGCGCCTTCCCATCGTTCAAGCTGCCAGGACCTGGGCCCGTCCATGACGCAGGCACAGAAACCAAAGCAAGAGCTGGAAGGAGGATTGGGACCACACAGAAACAGTTTAGAGAAATGAAAGCGCAAAGTCAGACAGTAATTACATGGATTTCCGCAGTTACACTGAGTGCGCCTGCCTCTCCTGCCTCCCCTTCCTTCCTCCTCCCCGTCTTCTGCCTCTGCCATCCCCTGAGACACAGGACCAGCTCCTCTTCCTGCCCCTGCCCCTCAGCCCACTCGACCTGAAGAGGACGAGGACAAAGGCCTTCAGGAGGATCCACTTCCAGTGAATGATTAGTAAATAGATGTTCTCTTCCTGATGTTTCGTGCTGTTTTCTCTTTTCTGTCTTACTTACCGTAAGAGTACGGTATATAATGCATATAACACAGAAAGTATGTGCTGACTGAATGTTAGTCACTGGGAAGCTTCCTGTCAATGCTAGGCCATGAGTAGTTACATTTAGGGGGGTCAGAAGCAGTATGTGGATTTCCAGCTGCGTGGGGCTTCAGCGCACCATTAACCCTGCAGTGTTCAAGGGGCGACTCTAAACAAACCACGGAGACTAAGGACCGTGCTGGTTTCCCTGAGAGGACTGGCCCTTTCCTCTGGTCGGACTCTGCTTCTAGAGGGCTGAGGTGAGACCTGTCCTAGGCTTGCTGCGAACCCCTGAGATTTCACCCTGTCTTCAGAACAGCCCCTCCGCTTCCTGTGCTGGTACCAGACCCGGGAAATATCCTGGGGGACCAACTGTGCTGCTGCTGCTCTAGACCCTGCCTGGGGCCTCAGCCTGGGCAGGCTGGGATGCAGCAGCTCCGGTCCCCCTGGAGGTCCCCCAAGGCTGCCCCGGCCTTGCAGCTTCACGCGCGCCATGCGACTCCTGCGTTGGGCCTTCTCCAGTGGCTACAGGAGCAGGAGGTCATCGCTCACCTGCCCAGAGGTCATCGCTCACCTGCCCAGAGGTCACACTTCATTTACCACAATCCTTTTAAAAGAATCGCTATGCTTTATGTTTCTTAAAACAGTGTATTGGAAAACTCCAAGCCTGTTACGTTGTGTTAAAAAAAACAGAGTTAATAGAAAATTCCGGGTTATTCGAATTTCATGTGGTAACGCACACGCTCGCATTCTTCCGTTCCGTCTTCAGTCACATCCCTTCATTCCATCGCTCTTGTTAACCTGCAGTTCCATTCTATCAGCAGTTACATTCCCCCACCTTCTCTCATAATCAGACAGATATTTCTCTCTTGATTTTTGAAAATTAAATAGCAGTTATTTTCCTCTCAGCCCCAGGTCTTTCTTCCCTTCCTTTTCTCCTCCCCTGCCTCAGCTGAGGCCTTTAGAACATCCTCATGTCCCGTTTCTCTCCACCCTGTCTCAGTTATCTGTTGCTGTGTGACCCCTTAGTGGCTAAAAACGTCCGCCTCCCCCTGATCTTGTGGAATGCTTTGGGCTGACCGGGCTCAGCAGGGCAGCTCTCCCGTCCTCGGGCTGTCTGCGGGGCACCAGCAACCTCATGGCCTGACTGAGCTGAGATGTGCAGGGCAGTGCCAGGCGTCGCCCTCACATGCCTGGCGCTCTGGCCAGGTGGCCGGAAGGTCACACTCAGATGAGACGCTGGGCTGGCCAGGTGGCCGTTGCACTCAGGTGGGATGCTAGGGCCACTGGAACCAGGTGGCCGGAAGGTCGCACTCAGATGGGATGCTAGGCTGGCCAGGTGGCCGGAAGGTCGGACTCAGATGGGACACTGGGCTGGCCAGGTGGCTGGAAGGTTGGACTCAGATGGGACGCTGGGGCCACTGGAACTTCCTTTCTCAGGATGTCTCTGGCTCCCATGGTCCCTTCCTGGAGTCTCTAGCAGGGTGCCCAGCCTTCCTCCATGGAGGCTTAGGGCTCTGGAAGTGCAGAGTGGGAGTGTCCAGGCCTTCTGAAGACTTGGGCCTACCCTGGTGTGCCCCAGTTCCTCCGTATTCTTCCAGGGAAAGTGAGTCCCAGGGCAGCCCAGGTCTCTGTAGAATGGCAGGCGGTGGCCACAGCCTGCCTCCTGCCCCGAGCCTCAGCTGTGTAGAGGACCTTTGGGTCTTGATCTGCCCTCTTGGTTGAGCTTCCCTTCCAGATGGTGCATTCCAAGAGTCGGGATGGAGCACGTCCATGCACTGCCCTCCTGCTGGCCAGGCTCCCGTCCCTGGACCCCACCGCCTGCCTTTCCTTCCTGCTGAGCTCCAGGCTTCTATTCCATTGGCTTCTTCTTAGAGCTCCCTCAGCCCCTCCCGCAGCTTCCTCCGGTGGGAAGTGTGGGCAGCCCTTCTCCTGGCCCTTCATCTGCCACTCCGTTCTCCGGCCTGGATGCCATGAGCCATCTGGGCTGGATCCGGAAGTGCCAAGTCTCATCCTCGCCTCTCTGAGTCAATGTTACTGTTCTGTCTTTTGCTCCCAGACCTGTGGAGGTGCAGCGGGGTTGGCAGGATTCCGTCTCCTATAGAGGCAGCTTCTGTGTGTCTGGAGACTGGAGCTCCAGGCAGCTACACCAGGAGGTCAGGAGCACCCAGGCTGTGGGTGCAGCTCTTCCTCCATGTAGGGAAAGCTGTTTGTTTTTCTTTCAAAAGTAGCCGCCTCTCCTCCACCTGCTCCCCGCTGTCATTCAGGGGCCCCTATTATGGACTGTTCAGTCCTGGCTCTGTCCCCGAGCCACCCTCTCTTCACGGCTTTCCTTTGCTCAGTGTGTGTGGACTTTTTTCTACTTCCTCTTCCACACTTGTCCTTTGGACGCCAATGTTCACATCCTCCGTCGGTTTGTTTGCTGATGTTTCGTTGGGAAACCCTTTATTTCTCAGCTCTAAGTCTCGTGTCGGGTGTGCCATGCAGGGGTCTCCTTGGGGCTCTGGCTGGCGCTGCCGGTGCCATCTCGTTGGCACAGGTCTATCTGACTGAAGTGCCTTCTCTCGGGAATTGGCACCTTTAGATGGGAGATGATTCTCTTGTGGCTTCTTGGGTCAGGCCTGGCTGCCAGCCATGGGCAGTGCGTCAGGGCCCCTCCCTGCTTTCTGGTCAGTGCTGCAGACACCAGCTCGGGCAACATGTGCACGAGCACCACTGCCCATGTCCTGGCACTTCCAGGCCTGGGATGGGGGTGCCCATGGCTGGCTCTTTGTAGGAGGCAGGAAGAATGAGGTGCACCCCCCATGTGAGGCCAACAACTCACTCTAGCTCCTGGCCCATGCGCTCCTGACTTCCTCCCCGAGGCCCCGTGAAACCCAAAGACTGTTGCCCCAATATCTCCCCTCTCGTCCACTGCGGAGTGTGGTGCTGACCAGCCTCCGAGGACCCCAGCCTACTGGGATCCCCGCCCTCCCAGCACCTCATCCTCCTGGGACCCCTCCCACCCTCCCAGGACCCCAGCCCTGGACCTGTAGGGGAGCCCACAGTCCTCCACTCACTGCTTCTCCCCCAGCGCTGTGCGAATCACCAAGTTTTGCCGCTGTTCTCACTCCTGGCCCACAGTTTCTTTAGGGTTATTTCATTGCCCTCGCTCTTTCCGGTTTAGAGTCTGCATGTGGAGGATTGTGGATGTTGCTAAGAGTCATACTTTAGCCAAAACACACAATTTTTATTGTTGCTTGTTGATAGTCTACAATTTTGTTTTTCATTTCCCTTTTGGCTTTTGTGTTAAGGGAAGAATTTTGTTTCTGAATGGCGGGTGTGTTTTCTAAGCTTTGTGACTGGTTTTCTGTGGCCTTTCTGGAGACGCTCTGCGTGTCCTTTCCCTCCAGCCTGGCTGCGCAGCCTTGAGAGCTTCGGCCGGCATCTGTCAGAGCCCCCCACTCAGCCAGCGTCCCTCAGGCCCTCTCGGTCCCCCTCTGCCTCCCTGTCTCGTCCCTCCCTTGTCCGCGTGGCCCCCCTCCGCCTCCCTGTCTCGCCCCTCCCTTGTCTGCGTGGCCTCTGCTAGACTGGGCTTTGGTTGGGCTGGTTCACTGCTGCCACCGGCATGTGGATGGGATGTTGTTCGGGGCGTGAAGACCCCTCTGGGTGCTCCACTTCTCTTCTTGGGGTGCTCACTTGTCTGATTCTTGTCTGGGGGATTCCAGTGGGGTCCCCTGAGTCCTTTTGTTTTTATGAACCTGCCAAGACACTGCCCACCTTTTTGTTGAAACCACCAGTCACTGTTTTTGCTGCGACACCAGAAGAATTCACCCTGTGTCGGCCTCAGGACTCTGAGCACAGCCAGGCTTGATGCCGCCTTGGCATCAAAGTCCTGCAGGTCAAGGAGTTTTCATGACAGAGGCGCTGCTAGATGGGTCCTGGGGAGAGGCCACATACTCTGTGGGGAGGACGGGGCTCCCGGGAGAGGCAGCAGCTGGAAGGTGGGGTGGAGGCAGGGACGAGCCGGCCATCTGTCCTCTGGGAGGGCCCGAGGTGGGAATCCCTGTCCTCCTCCCAGCCTGTCTTCCAGAGGCTGCCTTCATGCCCTCATTTCCCACGTCACCCTCCCGTGGTCATGTGCCCTCTCTCACCCTCTACACTCCAACCTCACTCTGTGAGAGGCCCTATTTCAATGGACTGGGAAAGCCTGCCTGCCCCAGGATGTGGTGGGTCATTTCTGCTGGGCAGGGTGGAGGAACTTGCACAGAGGCCGCCACTCAGACCCTGTTTGGAAGGTGCTTAACAGGCTGGGAGGGGACGGTGCCCGAGGCCCTGGAGCCCCCCGTGACTCAGCCCATCTGAACGTGGCCCTGTGCAGCAGTGCGCTCTGCAGCCAGCGAGTCCCTGCTCTGGATCCCTTAAACCCTTGTAGATTTCGGGTATCTGGGTGAGAGGTGCCCCTCTCCTTGCTGGATTTGGGGTATCTGGGCAGGAGGCCCCCCTCTCTCTGGTGGATTTGGGGTGTCTGGGTGGGAGGTGCCTCTCTCCCTGGTGAATTTGGGGTAGTTGGTCAGGGTTCCCCTCTTCCTGATAGATTTGGGGGCTCTGGGTGGGAGGTCCCCCTCCCCCTGGTGGATTTGGGGTATCTGAGCGGGGCTCCCTTTCACCCTGGTAAATTTGGGGTGTCTGCGCAGGAGGCAGAGATCTCCCTGGATTTGGGGTGTCTGGGTGTGGCCCCTTCCCTGGCTCCTGCTCTGCCGTTCTCTTTTCCTTCCTTAGCTGCTGAGTGAGGACCATCCATGCTGACTTTCAGATCAGGGCATCCTGAGTTTCTGGAACTTTTCATTTCTCTGCCCAGCTCTCCTGGGAAGGGGAAAGGGAGGCAAGAGCCCCAAGCCAGGCCTGAGAACCCCCAGGGGCACGAACTGAGCTGCAGAAGGCAGATGGTCTGGAGCGGCTGCAGGCCCGCGGCTTGGAGAGAGCAGCAGCCGCAGCAGGGAGCTGGTGCTTGGCAAACGTGAATGTGGTTGGCGCACACTGCCAGGAGGTCACAGGGTCACAGGCCGTGTCCCAGGAGTGGACGTAATGATGGGCATCGCAAGCCCTGGAGCCCCAGGACGCAGGCCCAGCCTTCTGTGAGTGGAGGTCACCTGCAGGTGGCGCCCCAATGTCAGGTGTGGTGCATGAAAAGGAAAGAAGGGGGAGGAGAGGAAGGAAGAGGGGGAGGAGGAGAGCGAGGGGAGGTGCCCCTGTGGAGCTGCCTGCAGGGGCGGTGGGGGGGGCTCTCACGGAGGGAATCAGCTGCTCAGCCCTGGGGGGTCCCAGGCCCAGCCATGGCAACAGGGTGGGCACTGCAGGGCAATGTCTCAGGCTGAGAAAGCACTTGGCCACAACTCTGGCCCTCCCGGTGCCCCCAGGGAAGCCTGGCTCAGCTCCTGTGTGGGGGCTCCCTGAGTCCTGCACTCCAAGTGAGCGCAGCACGGGAGGGCCAAGCTCACAAACGTCTGTAGGCAGCCGGCCAGGGCAGGTGCCGTTCAGGCCCCATGCACTCCGTCCAGTTCGCGGGACACAGCGCAGAACCCGGTGTGGGCCCTGGGACCTGAGTCCCGACACGGAGTTCAGGTGTCCTCAGGGAGGCCTTGTCAGACTTCCTCAGGTGCCAGCAGGACCGTGGGGGCAGCTGGGCTCAGGTCCCCTTGTCACTGTTGGAAGCTGGCCCCACACGCACCACACTCACACT